AACAAGAGTGTCATTAGATTCTTGGAAAGATCTAAGAAAGGATTTTATACTTACAGCAGGTAACAGTGGTGATGTCACTTGCACAGGTACAGTATTGCCAAAGAAGAACTAATAACGGCGATTAAAGTTGGGAAATCTACCGCCCCTGGGGAGGATGGAGTAACTTATGAAATACTTAATGAACTTGCCATTATGACGAAAAGCCCACTTTTAGACCTCTTTAATATTAGTTATAAAGATGGCAGTATTCCCAGTAAATGGAAAAAAGCTATGATCATCCCTATCCCTAAAGTCAATGAAGAGTACAGACCTGTGTCTTTAACCTCGTGTTTTTGTAAAATGATGGAGAGGATCATTTTAAATAGACTTTTATATATAATAGGTGATCAGCTGTCTAGTAATTTGTTTGGGTTCCTCAAAGGAAAAAGTACCTCTGATTGTATTATTAAATGTCTAGCTAATGAAAATGATTATTATAGAATTTTTATTGATTTGCAAGGAGTTTTTGATAAAGTCAACAAAGAGGTTATTTTACATGAATAACTTCTTGTCGGTCGGTAGGGTCGGGTTGGGTCGGTGTAATTAATTAATCAATTAATCAATCAATCAGTCAGGTCAGTTGGGTCGGGTCGGTCGGTCAGTCTGTCTGTCAGGGTAGTCAGTCAGGGCAGTCTGCCTCCAAGGCCACCTTCTGGTAGGAAGGTAGCTGAGAATCAGAACCTTATTAATACCCATCTACACACACCTGGAGGGGTGGGGAATATTTCCGGGAGGGGTCCGGTGTGGGGATAGGGGAAGGGGGAGGGTAGGATGTAGTGGGCGTGAGGGGTGCAGAGGGGATGTGGTGTGACCACAGCCAGTCTGTGATACTAGTCCACCTGCCGCTCGCCCGCCTGAACCCACCCCAAGCCCACCTACCCGCTCAAACCTGCCTACCCTGCCCAAACCCAAGACCACCTACCCACCCGAATCCACCCAAGCCCGCCTACCCACCCGAATCCACCCAAGCCCGCCTACCCACCCGAACCCACCCAAGCCCGCCTACCCACCCGAACCCACCCAAGCCCACCTACCCGCCCAAACATATCAACACTGCCCCCCCACCCAGCCAGCCTGCCTGCCCACCAGCAACCCACCTAGCCCTTCCCACCCATTAACTTACCCACCCAGCCTGCCTGCCAGTCAGCCACCAATCCTTCCATCCACATTGCCCACTCACCCAGCCATCTTCCTTGCCCCTGCACCTACCCGCCCTGAGGGTAGGTGCAGCGGGCCACCAATCCACCCACCTACCTACCCACCTAAAACTGCCCACCCGCCAGTCAGTCGGCCACCAATCCATCCATCCACCCACCCCTTTCTGCCCACTCACCTGCTATCCCTGCCTGCCAGCCATCCCATCCCCCCACCCTGCCCCACCTGCTCACTCTGCCTGCTTATCCACCCACCAGTCAGCCATCACTGACACAATACATGAATTTGGAGCCGACATGACAAGATGTTGTCATGTCAGATGTTCACGGATGTTCCAAGATTGTGCAGATATATCCAACAAGTCATGGAATGAACACTCCAGGCTCGTGACAAATCAAAACAATGGGAACAATGGGCCGTGAATCTGTGACGTCACAGGCTAGAAGGCACTAGAGTGGCACCCGACATGGTCGAAGTGTAAACTAGGCCATCAAACCCGGGCCAGCACAAGGCCTGGCAGACCACTTCCTTGCTTCTCAAAATTAGTTAGAGAGGCATGAAACCCCAACCTCGATTGAGATACTGGACCTTTTGGATAACTTAAGTTTGCAAACCATGTGGTCCTTTGTACCTTATATTCTTTCTCATATACAGTACTTTTCTACGAACTGTCATTATGTAAATATCTGATTTATACATCCTTTATCACTAAGGAACCCACTTTGTTTATTAATGGTCCCAGTAATTTCCTATATTCTGCAAGACACTATCCTGCCAAATATTTTACCTTTCACTTCACAAATTAATGCCCCTATAATTCTTGCACTCATCCTTGCTTACCAATAGCAAAGGTTAATAACAACAACAATTATCCGCACAAGCATTCCATTCAATAATCTACGTTGTCTTGTATTAATAAATGAAATGTATACTTGAGGTTATCTTGAGATGATTTCGGGGCTTTAGTGTACCCGCGGCCCAGTCCTCGACCAGGCCTCCACCCCCAGGAAGCAGCCCGTGACAGCTGACTAACACCCAGGTACCTATTTTACTGCTAGGTAACAGGGGCATAGGGTGAAAGAAACACTGCCCATTGTTTCTCGCCGGCGCCCGGGATCAAACCCGGGGACCACAGGATCACAAGTCCAGTGTGCTGTCCACTCGGCCGACCGGCTATACCGATACTGTATACATTCATTTTTATCTTTCATGTTATAAATATTTGGTGAATGAGAGACCCAATTTATGTTTTCGTGTATTAAATTTTTTTTTTTCGGATGTCACCTACATCTTTTCTCAAGGTACTGTATACAATGTTGTCTACAACAATATTTGACAACAGTGCCTACTGCCTACAGTACCTTCAGAAACGATGTAGGTGACATCTGAAAATTAGATTTTTAATGCACTAAAACATAAATTGGGTCGTTTATTCACTTTCATTAAAGCACTATGGTATTGTAGTAAGTTTCTCCAAATATTTGGTCTTGCATTTTCCCCATAAGACAATTAACAAAATACCCAGTTGTCCAGTTTAACACAACATCAAGGAATGTATTGATGCATACAACCGAGGCACTTACTATGTTCTTTACATAATGAACGTTAAATAAATTTAAGTGAAAATAAAAAATAATTCAACATGTATAACACACTTTTAATGTTTAAACATTTTCAGTACTTGTTTTAGTAAAATATTCTAGCAAGTTTCAAGTTTTTTCCATAAATCAAGAAGTAAATTTTGTAAACTGGGGAACTTATGTGAAAGTATTTACAAGATGAGTGATTCATTCCACAAATCGTAAAAACTATGTCAATTTTCCAACACAACAACTTAAGAATGAAATATACATAGTACGTAGCTCTCACATTGTGTCACTTTTATTTTGAGCGCAAGAAAACAATATATGCAGATTGAGGTAGCCTTCACAATAACTTGAAAGGAGGTGCAGAGCTCATATGAAAAAGGCAAGAGATGGAATAGTGATCCAGGTCACATAGTAAACAATAAGTTATAAAACACATCACATCACATATAACTCACATCACACACCCGCCTCTTTTACAAAAAAGAACCCAAAATGTTGATGCCTAATTGGTCATTACTGTAGAAGGTTTCTTGTGAGAAACAGTCATTAATCATCTCCATAAAGCATTTCAAAGGACAACTGAACCTGCAAACAACTCATATGAGTGAGCACACATTTATTTAGTCAAGAATATGTTGCTGTAAATCTGAATGTGCCAAAAGCAGTTGGTATTTGGAATGTGCATTGTATATAAATACTTCTCCAAATAAACAGAAATTAACTTTAATATTTAAATCTACATAAAAAAATAGAAAAAAGATACCTCTCTGTCTATTATCATCAGAAGATGCTGTGGTTCACTTGAAATTTCTAATAAAAATAATACTGTACTTAAAATTCTTTAATCTTTACACATCACTCATTAAACACTAATAAATAAACAGGTTTGAGTCCAATACCTAAAACAATACATGAACAATTTGTACTTTGTGTACCATAAAGCCACCCGGCAACACACACAGCTATGTGCACTGCCTTTCTTACATACAAACTTTTAGAATATGCAGATTATTAGCTACAATATTGTATTTCCTACAACTACACTATTGTAGCTTACACTATAAGTCAACTCATTCCAATACTATAATTATATAAATTGTAATAAATTTCATGGTGTTTGGTTAGGTTGGTAGTGATTTATTATATACAGCATCAACACACATTATCAATTTGTATGATACAATTTACACAAGGAAGGGTGGCATTTTGTGTGGGAAAGTTGTGCAATACTCACATGATGTCATATTTATTCATACATATGGTGTGTGTGTGTGTGTGTGTGTGTAATTACCTAAGTGTAGTTACAGGATGAGAGCTATGCTCGTGGTGTCTTGTCTTCCCAGCACTCTGTCATATAACGCTTTGAAACTACTGATGGTCTTGGCCTCCACCACCACCTCACCTAACTTGTTCCAACCGTCTACCACTCTGTTTGGGAAAGTGAATTTTCTTATATTTCTTCGGCATCTGTGTTTAGCTAGTTTAAATCTATGACCTCTTGTTCTTAAAGTTCCAGGTCTCAGGAAAGAGTGAGTGAGTGAGTGAGTGAGTGAGTGAGTGAGTGAGTGAGTGAGTGAGTGTGTGTGTGTGTGTGTGTGTGTGTGTGTGTGTGTGTGTGTGTGTGTGTGTGTGCGTGCGTGTGCGCGTGTGTGCGTGTGTGTGTGTGTGTACAAAATACAAAATTGTGATAGGATTCAACAACTTTAACAACAAGAGACCATGGACTTGAGCTAAGAAAACAAAGGTGCACACAAATTCCAAAAGTTCTCATTTGCAGAGTTGAAGACAAGTGGAACAATTCAAGTAAGGTGGTAGATGCCAAAAGCATTAGTAGTTTCAAAATGTCCCGTGACAAAGATTATTGGGAAAACGGGACACCACGAGCACTGCTCTTGTCGTGTAACTATACTTCAGTAATTATACACAAACACACGCATGAAAAACTACAGATACATAGTGAGGAGAATGTGGAAGAGGTTGGTAGTATGGATGTGTGTGGGTGGTGAAGTATTAATAAATGAGATTAGCTAGCAAGAATAAATGAGCAAATAATTGAAAGGAAGAGAGTGAACAAGAACCAACCAGGGTCCAGACTTGCATAATACACATTCACACACCATCTAGCAAGAAAAACTATTTATAAGATGTCAAGACAATAATTTTGTGTAATTACAAGGATCCAAAATTCTGTTGTCTATGATTATAATAAAAGCAGACTGTGCAAAGAAAATTTATTCTTACTTAGCCTTAAAACTGCCCAAGATGATGTTGCTATTCCAATGCTCCATTACATTGCTAGCTACTACCACTGCCCATAAATTTAAATCTGGACATTTTCCTCTCACTGCCCTTTGCTACTACTTTCCCAATACATGTGTTGGGCTGCAGGAATGATCTTGGCTGTGGGTTACTTAGTAAACCTAGTGCAGCACCTGATGCTCTTCCTCTGCCAGAAGTACCTGCACCTGCAGATTTTCCACCACCTCCCTGAGCTCCCCTTGTTCCTCTTCCTCTTCCTGCCATTGATGCTGCTGCTTTACTTCGTGATGCTGCATGTCGTGAAGCCTTTGCCGGACTACCACTGTAACTTGTTTCACCTCCAAGTCCTACTTTAGTTTTCTTTGTTTGCTTTCCTCGACCAACGGAGAATTTTCTTTTGCGTTTCATTCTAAAACAAACTCCCTTTTTAATAAATTATCAAAATAGGTGTTAATATTTATCACATATCTACATATAAAGGACAATAAAGGAACACAAATGGCAACAAACCATTGAATCCATATGTGCCTATTTGCCTAATCTGTGTCCTAGAGTATATAACCCATACAAGACACTGCTCTAATTTTTTACTTACTGTAAGCTGTAAGATATTTCCTACTTAATTAAACCAAATACATTTTGTTTTATCAAGTTGACCTGCAACTTGTAAGTATTCTTCTGGCATGTTTTAATATTTACCCCTTTCTGGGGAGCTGGCTTGAGTGTCCAAGAAGACCCTGCTAAAAAATAAAGGGTTATATTTACAAAACTCAACAATTGCTTTATTTTCATTACCAGTTTTCCTTTCTAACTGTATTTTGTCAGCTGATTTCAGCTTCCAGTGAGGCTTGCCGACTACCTTGACTAAGAGTAGCGGCATTATTACCATCTGGTAGTGGGTAGTGTAGTTGGGTGACTAGCTTAGGAAAAATATATGTATTTTAACTGGTGTTCTTTTTGTCCTTTTTCTTGTCACAGAAAGCTCTCTCCTTGGAGGTGTATTAAACTTAATACAGTATACTGTGAAAGGGAAGAGTCCACAGCAACAAAGCCAGGACTCAAGTTCACGTTGGGTACAATGTGTATAAGAGCCGATTCTACAAGACGGCGTCTGTGTAGAGTAGAGGCAGGAAAGATTATTTTGGAGGAAGACCAATCAATGGGATGATTAGAATCCCTCACATGGCAGATGAGAGCATTGTTAGTGACTGCAGACTTAACACTTCTCTTGTGTTCTTTAAGTCTGTCATTCAGTGTATGGCCAGTTTCGCCAAAGTATTGGAGAGGACAAGATGAACAGGAAATAGAGTAGACACCAGCAGCATTAGAAGCAGGAGGAGCAGTGTGAACTAGATTGCTATGAAGTGTGTTAGTTTGTTGAAAGGCGAGTTTAATGTCAAGAGGACGAAAGGTATTGGTAAAAGTTTTGAGTTCAGATATGAAGGGAAGGCATAGTACAGTGCTACTAGTGTTGGAAGCAGGTTTAGGATGAAAGAAATTTCGTTTAGCTTGAGAGTAGGCACAGTTGATGAAATGCAAAGGATAACCAAGGCGAGAGAATGATTTGTAGATAGAGGCAATTTCCGAATCAAGAAACTGAGGGTCGCTGATGTGTAGAGCGCAGAGGAAGAGAGAGACGAGGACACTTTTCTTAACAGAAGGAGGATGGTAGGAAAAGAAGTGAATGTACATGCCCCATGTGAATGTCCTAGTCTAATATAACATACATTAGCCCGATAAGCTCCAGGGAGCCGTAGGGGCTCCTCACAGAAAAGTTGTTATTATATATCTCACCATGAGTCCCAAGAAAGCCAGTGGTAAGGATCAAGGCAAGAAATTGCATGTGAGGATGACAACAGAGGAAAAACAAGAGATCATTCGGAAGCATGAAAATGGTGCACGTGTTGTTGAACTTTGTAGGCAGTACTGTACTCCCCTTCCAAACAGTAACACCTTTTCTCCTCCCCCCTCCTCACCATCTTCCATACGCCAACAGCAGTCATCAGCAAGGGTAAGTAATAACTTGAACATACTTTTGTAGTGTAGATTTATATGAATTAGGTATAAATTTAGTTTTGAAGTGAGGTTTTTGGGAAGTCAGGAACGGATTAATTCATTTCCCATTACGTACTTCTTATGGGGATATTAGCTTCTTGAGGTTATCTTGAGATGATTTCGGGGCTTTAGTGTCCCCACGGCCCGGTCCTCGACCAGGCCTCCCCCCCCCAGGAAGCAGCCCGTGACAGCTGACTAACACCCAGGTACCTATTTTACTGCTAGGTAACAGAGGCATAGGGTGAAAAAAACTTTACCCATTGTTTCTCGCCGGCGCCTGGGATCGAACCCAGGGCCACAGGATCACAAGTCCAGTGTGCTGTCTGCTCGGTCGACCGGCTCCCATCGGCTTACGAGTTTTCGGATTACGAGCTGTCTCCAGGAACAGATTAAACTCTTAAACTGAGGTACCCCCTGTAATTTGATAGTACACAAGTAAACTCCTGCTGGGAAAATTCCCCACACTATGACTAACTACAAAAGCGCTATTATTATCACATTCCTCTCAAAAAATCCCGAATATGAATCCATTCCCTAACAAAATGAACATTGGTGACTGAACATAAGGTCGTTTCATGATGCATAGATGCTGGAAACAACTGCTGGGTGCTATGTCTCTCTACCTCATGCTATGAATATCATAAATAACATTGTGTTCACTGATATCTGAATGTTGTACATAGTCTTTATCACAGTCAGGATCATCTATAACACTATCAATGCAAAATAATTTCAGTTATCTATTTTATTCATCATTACTGTACTAAGTGGTGTTGTGGTCCCTAGCTGCACAGCAATGCTGTGCATGCCAGCCTTGATCGCTCTCTCAGTACTAAGGCTCTCACAGCCAGTACGGATGCTGACGATTTTTTCCAAGATGGCATCTGTTTACATGAGTCCTGAGGCACAGGATGTGAGCCCTGTATTCACCTAGCTGTGCTTGTGGGGGTTGAGCTCTGGCTCTTTCGACCTGCCTCTTAACTGTCAATCAAGCAACTATTATTTTTCCCACACACTCACACACACATCCTCAGGAAGCAGCCTGAAACAGTTGTCTAACTCCTAAGTACCTATTTACTGCTAGGTAAAAGGGGCATCAGGGTGACAGAAACTGCCCATTTGTTTCCGCCACAACTGGGGATCGAACCCCGGGCCATAGGATAATGAGTCCCAAGCATTGTCCAGTCAGCTACCAGGCCCTCCAGCCTCCCCCCTCCCTGTACCCGAGAGAGTTTTGAATTGCTCCCTTTACCTAAAAATGCCACATGGTGCTCTGTGCACCCTTCATCCAGCACCTCAGGGCACTCTGCGCAGTGCAGTGGTTAAAGACAACAATCATTGACATGGCAGTCAGTGGCCTTAGCGGGCACAGATAGGTGGTTTGGGCAGAGACTATGGGGTTGATCTGAAAGGTTTCATAAGAGCAACTCTTCACGTTTTTACTGCATCAGTACACTACTTGTTTTCACTTTATTAGTAACTATTAACCTACTCCAAAGGTATTTTTCTTTGTTAACTCTATGGTGCCCACATTCAGTAACTTCATTTATATAATCTACTTCCACTGTGTATTATGGTATTTTACATATAGTGTATTTGCCTCCAAATATTTATTTCAGAACTTTGCAGATATTGTACTATAAACACTTTCTGAAAGCAGGAGCCATGAAAGGAGAGATAGAAAAAAGACAGACAGACATTATACATATTCTATTTCCAGAAATAATGTTATGACAAATGAACATGGAAACAAATAAATCGTCATTGTACTGAAGGTGGTATTTCTTGCGTCCAAAAAGATCTAGGTGCTATAACATTATGACACGATGGATAATATTGTTGGAAACAAAACAATTTGTATTAATGAGACATGACTGTTCAGTGTTAAAATACCATTGGAAACATGCAAAGCTTTTAGATAAACCAAAAATACGAATACTGTCTTACCCTCTGCCAAACTTCCTTCTAGAATTTCCTCTTCCAAAATAAGGTGATGAATTGGATACCGGGGCACTCACTGAGCTTAGCCACCCGGTTGAGAATTCATCATCCTCTTCATAGCTGCCATCATCAAAAGCTCCATCTTCTACTCGGTCACTCAGGATTACTGTAAAACCCATTAACACTCATAAAATTTCAATATTCTGAAGGTAATCCAAGAACAAATTTTATAAGCAGCCCTTGCTGGAAATATATATATACACTACACAGTTTTGTGATACACATTACAAGTACAACCCACAAGGAAGGGGAACAAGGGGAGGTGCAGATTTGTGGTCTGAAGCTATTTAGGATCCACTGGGGAGTTGAACAAGATTGGGCAAATGGGACACACAATGGTCAAAGCAGAGATAGCAGAGGAGGCCAGAGTACACTTGGAACTGGTGTTCAAAACTAGATGCTTAACATACTCTATATAAAACATTGGGAGATTGGAAACCACACAAACAAGCTCAGGCAGGAGCCTCAGAAGCTGAACCTACAAGACATTATCTCTAAACATGGCCAGCTTGATATGCTACTGCATGAGAAGGTGGACTAACCAAAACAGAGTAAAATGCTCACAGAAAGCACATGCCCAAGGATAAAAGTATTTCTGAACCTAACAGGCAGAGTAATAGAGGCAATAGAAGTAGAATATACGTTACATTTGTATATGTGAATGTTTAACGAAGATAAGTTCCAGCTCATGCGCTACGGAAAAAAGGAAAATATAAAAACGGAAACGATGTACAAAATGCAGTCAAATCATACCATAGAACGAAAAGGCAATGTAAAAAATTTGGGTGTACTCATGTCAGAAGACCTTACCTTTAAAGAACACAATAAAGTAACCATCACAGCTGCAAGAAAAATGACAGGATGGATAACAAGAATCTTTCACACCAGAGATGCTATACCGATGATGATACTTTTCAAGACGCTAGTGCTCTCTAGAGTGGAATACTGCTGCACAATGACAGCCCCCTTTCAAAGCTGGAGAAATTGCTGATCTGGGGAGCGTGCAGAGATCCTTTACTGCTAGAATTCACTCAGTAAAGCATCTAAACTATTGGGACCGACTAAAGAGCCTAAATCTGTATTCTCTTGAGCGCAGACGGGAGAGATACATAATAATTTACACGTGGAAAATAGTAGAGGGGGCTGGTCCCAAACCTGCACACAGAAATAACATTACATGAGACCAGAAGGCATGGTAGGATGTGCAGAATACCCCTGTTGAAAAGCAGAGGTGCAACAGGTACTCTGAGGGAGAACTCATTAACATCTGAGGCCCGAGACTGTTCAACACGCTTCCACTTCACAGTAGGGGCATAACTGGCCGACCCCTCACAGTGTTCAAGAGAGAACTTGACAAACACCTCCAAAGGATACCTGATCAACCAGGCTGTGACTCATACATCAGGCTGCAAGCAGCTGCGTCCAACAGCCTGGTTGACCGATCCAGCAACGAGGAGGCCTGGTCGACGACCTGGCTGCGGGGTCGCTGAGCCCCGGAATCACCTCAAGGTAACCTCAAGGTAAGCAGCATCCAAAAACACAGAATTGCAACCGCATTATGGGATGGAAGCTCTAAAAGTGCTTCCTCCAAAGGTTTGTCCACATCTGACAAATGTCACACACACGCAAAAGAAAACAACCCTCTAACCAACTAGAAGAATGGTGTAGGCAACATATAAGAAGTCAAGAAACTCAACACACCACATCTTGTAAAATTGCAGAGCAAAATCAGATTCTGACCCTGAAGAAAAGGTCATAATGCCTTGGCCAGCAAAGCCACAGGATAGAATAGCATTTACTAGCTTCATGAACTAAACCTCATAACAAGTAAGGACCAAAAAGGGAGCCTAGATGCAAGAGGAGCATATTTTGCTAAGGTACTGCCAAGGTAGGAGTGCAACTTATTACTGATGAACCGCACTGAGACTATGACAGAAAAGGTCACCCTGAAAGCAGACAGACTTTAACAGTCAGGGTCAGAGAAAGAAACTCGGAACAAAGAGGCATTGATATCAGAATATCTAACCAGGAACTTGAGTGAATCAGTCTACAGAACTGCAAGTGAAATGGGTGGACTTGAGGCAGCAAGAGAGAACCATGACCCTGTTGGCACATAGGGTGTTGCCATCTCATGGTGTTCATACGTACTGGCTAATGGGCAATTTAATAGCAAGCAGAGCAGTAATTGGTTTTCCTATCAGCATCTATTTTTTGCTAGTGGAAGGGATTGAAAATTTATATATTTTTATCTGTGTAGTAGTGAGCTGGTTGCTTGGTGGTAGTCAGTGAATTCTCCTCATTTTTCTCATCAAAATCTGTGGTATGACTAAGTAGCAAAGATTCTTGTCATGGTGAGGGAGCAGGGTACCAGAGCCCAACGAGTTTTGTGCTCCAAATAGACCATATGGGTCGGGAGGCTACCAAGAGGGATAGCACAGAAAAGTTTCTTTTGAAATACTTAAAGCCAATTTGATTCTTTTATATAGTAAATTAACTTGATATTCTATGATTGACTACTAGTATTACTGTTGGTCAACACTATTCATACAAACACTATCATGAAAAACGAGAATCATCCTATATCATAGCTTTTGTATTCACATTAAAGAAGCCAGTTTCAAATCGTAAATCACTAACAATTTTCACAAACAAAAGATTACATAAAAAAACCAGCGTTGAATGTAATGACACACCATTTTCTTGGTGAGCCCCGGAGGCTCCCTGGAGCTTATCAGGCTAATGTATGTTATATTAGACCGGGACATTAGCTAAGGAGTTTAGACCTACCAGGGACCAGCGCCAGAACCTGGATCCATCAGAGAGGTTTCAGGGAGCAATGACCCTGGAAAACCCCCTTGTGGTTGGGGTTTTCCTTATCTGCCATCGACCGAGGTTAGGCACCCAGAAAGGTAGGCCCTAACAAAACCCCACATGGTAAAAACTAAAAAAAAAAAAAAATGAACAGAGAGGTAGAAACTCCCTACAATCCCAAGGAAACAAGCAAACATCACACTTTACTGCCGCATCGATCGTCCGCACAGCCCTTCCCGCCCCGGACCTACCGCGCCAGCTGCCTAGCTTCAGTTCGGAAGTTATGCTTCAACCAATGCGAAAAAAACGCCGACCGGTGGGAGGGAGAGTTGCCAGGCAGCCTCCGGGGCTCACCCAGAAAATTGTGTTTCATTACATTCAATGCTGGTTTTCTGTGGGGAGCCCCTACGGCTCCCTGGAGCTTCATACCCAAAGAGAAGAAAAAGAAAGGGCTAACCCGGGAGGCGGCCGCCACAAACTTCGCAATGCGAAGCCGAGACAACAGGCTGCAACCTGCAACCCAAGGCAACAAGAACGCACAGGAGCAGACGCGCATAAAGAATGGGCAGCCAAGAACCTGTGGGACCCTCAAATCCCTGCGCCCGAAATGAGCCTTAGACGTCACCAACACAGCAGCAAAAGCTGCAAACGTCCGAACAGCACGGGCGCAAGGACAGACCGCAGGCTGGAAGACGGAAAAACTCTGCGGACGACCTGGGAGACCCGAGCCCTGAAACAGGGAATGAGGGGAACCAGATCAACCCAAAGCACATCCCCAGACACGGTACGCAGGTAACGGCAAAAAAGCGCAACCAGACAACACAGGACGCACCCCCGGCTGAACCAACCAAGCATCAATAACCTCGAAGCTCGTAGGTGGGACACCGCCAACAAAGCCACCTGATCACCACAGAGATGGTGATACCCGCGTCAAAATACCAGACACGAAGAGCTGAGGAGAAGGACGGACCAGTCACATACAGGATCGATCCGACCTGCCGAAAGAGGCGGAGCCACGGGAAAGCGCCCCGGGTTCGGACACCTATCAAGCAACGTCTCAAAATAAAGCTGGGCCAGCCACTAAGGAACCATAAGGATTACTCTCATGGGAAAAAGACTCCAACCGAGCTAGAACCCGAAGCAAGAGCTGGACCGGGAGAAGAGGAACAAGTACCCCCACCTCGACCAGTCCTGCCGAAGAGCATCCACCGTGAACGCCTCGCAGGCGGGTAAGGGCGCCACATAAAACGGGCGACACTTAGAGCACGTCAACTCAAAGACGTCCATGGCCAGGAGTCTATACATCCAGCAGAGCCAACGAAACGAGTCTGCGACAACTGGCCAATCCGCGAACAGAGGAATGAACCAAGACAGCTGTCCGCCAGGACGCAGGACACACCCCAGACATGAACCTGACGGTTAGCCAAACCCCGAGTCCAGCAAACGAGCAACTCTATGGAACCAGCCCCAAAGGTCAACACCTAAGAGAAACTCTGCGGTTCCGGCAAAGAACCGCCAGAGAACAGTCTGAATGGAGCAGAATGGTAGAGCACCGAGTGACCTAAACCCTCTGAAGTGCAAACCAGACAGCCACGAACTCCCGAACCGTGCTGTGAGGCCGACGGATGGACAGACCCCACCATCCCTGCCTGACCTTATGAGCACTGGTCACGAAGCCCCAGCCAAGAGATGACCCGTCCATGAACACATCGAGCGAAGGCTCGGGGAGGTGCCAAGGCACGGAAACCCAAAAACCCTAAAGAGGAAGCTGGTGATGCAGCACAACACAAGATTCCCGGAGGAACGAACCCAACGATTGCAAGAGAGGCGGAAGGGGAGTCTCCGAAGGAACCAAACAGACTCCGAAGCCAAACCCGACCCCGCGGGCAGACCAGCACGTTGAAGTTCAGACTCCCGCACAACTGCTCGAGCAACCGCTGAGCAACCCGGGACCCCCTTCATGAACAGCCGAAGGCGGGACCACAGCTGCAGCAACACTTCTGTAGGGAAAGACAAGGAGCGGCCCAAGAGCCCTAAACAAGGCCCAGCCAGGAAACCAAACCCGGCGATCTGAAAAGAACCACACCCTTGGCGAGCTGACAAGCAGACCGACTGGGAGCCCACACCAGCCAGTCGTCGAGATAGACCTGACACCAAATCCCAAGCAGACTCAGACAGGGCACCAAGATCCGGTAAAGATGCAAAAATACACAAAGTGCCAATTACAAAATAGAGAAGGCAACAAAAATGACAAGCCTGAAGCCCCACCACCAACTGTGCCAGTCCCAGAAAACTGGAGAGGAACGTGCTAAGACTGACCTGGAGGTCTAGGGCCACCATCCAGGCACCCAGCCCCAACAGAAGCTGGACAAGAGACAACAGTCCTCCAATGAGGGCATAGATTCCAGGGTGCAGGCTGAAGAAGTCCAGAAGAACCGCAGATTCGACAGGCCCATGTCTGCAAAAAGTAGACGGGAACTCCAGAAAGATGGGGCGGTTTGACCATGTCCAATGCACCCACTAAGATGACATGATGAAGCGCAGGGAAAGAAGCCCACCCCGCCAGCCCTGAACTGCCTCAAAAGGAGAGAAGCCGTCCACCGCCGCCACCAGAGGCAGTAAGACAACCAAAAGCGCCCACTAACTGCGGGACCATGCGAGAGTCAACAGAGCAAGCTGCTTCCCCAGCACCCCGTCAACAGAGAAGGGAACAGACATACATACATATGTACATACACATATATACATATTATGTATATACACATACACATACACACAGGGTATGTTACACAAATGGAGGCCAAGACCGTCAGTAGTTTCAAAGCGTTATATGACAAAGAGTGCTGGGAAAACGGGACACCACGAGCATAGCTGTCATCCTGTAACTACACTTAAGAAATTACACTTAGGTAATTACACACGTGTGTATGCACATACATTTGTGCACACACACACACACACACACACAGTACACACACATACACGTGAAAAGAAAATTACAAGCCGCCGACCAGTGGGCAGAGAGCACCATGCCGACCAGGCGAAGAAGGCACAAAACTGCATCAAAAGGCCCACCTCGACAACAATACCTCAAAGTCCCAGCACGACCACAACACGTGCCAAGATCCAAAATGATCAGTCTGCAAGCCAGGAAGACCCCGGAACTCCAGAAGGCAGAACCGGGTCACACACGAGGAAACAAAGCCTCTGTGAACCCACAAAGGGGGCCCACGAGGAAGAAACCTCCGAAATGAAACCAAAGAACCCCAAGGAACCTGGAAACGAACCAAGGGGAGCCCAAACCACCACAATTGCCGGCGGAGATACACCATAGAAAGGCAAAGCACAGCCCCCAGACAGAACTCCCCAGGAAAACGGTCAAAACAGACCTTAAACTGAGGGACAAGGTGTGGGAGCAAGCATAACAGCCAGAGACACTGAACAGGAAACGGGCAGAAAACACCAGAAAAGCAAAGAAACGACAACATGGGAATAAAACCCCCTGAAGGGAGGTGAAAAACTCACCCAAGACGCTCGCTCGCACTCTCAGGCGCATGTAAACAAACCGCAATGCTGCCCTGGTGGCCATGCCAAGAAACCAAAGGAGGGCGATCCTGGGGCATCCAGGTGGGAAACCAACCTAGCATGTTGCAGCAACCTAAACAGAGCATGCAACACGGATCCCGCCTGTACTCTGAATAGTAAGGACATCAGAAGAGTACTGGAGAACAAGCAGAGAACACATCTCGCAAGACTCCAGGTCAAGGTGTCAGTGACCCAACAGGCAGCATGGCGAAGGTAAAAAGAGGCGACTGTCACCCTGAGACAAGGGCACAGCAACCAACGAACCAGCACAAGATGGGTTGGAATCCGGAAGACACATCCAGTAGTTCACTGAGCCCCGACAGGGTTTTCCAGGGCTCGTAGGCTGACTGCTATGGGAAGCCTAAGCAAGGTGTTGCTAACCAGTTAACACCCAAAGCTAACAAGGGGTAGATGTGAACACTCAAAACCGCTGCGACGTGTACAATCACGGGGGCCTAGCAGAGGGCCACCAAATACTACCAGTGGAACTATAGCCACACTAGGCAGACCCCCACCAGGCAAATGAAAATAAAAACAAAAGAAAAACCCTGTAAAAGTACACCATCTCCAGAGGCAACAGGAACCGATCGCCGCATAGGTAGCAGGTCACGCAACTCCTTGGCGCCCTAACCAGCACAATACCAGTCCCTACCCAGGGCCAAACAAGGGCCCCAAGCCCCAGCTGGCCACAAGGACGAGGCAAATGCCGAGCAGCAAGAACCTCTACGAGAATTGTTCCCGAACGCCCCAGGGAAGATAACCCTGTCACGCAGGGGCAGTACTCACAGGGCGCTTAGGGAAGGAAGCCATTAAGCTCATGCAGCCCCGGTACTGATGAGGAACACCTGGCCACCGCACAACACAAAACACGGCAGTGAGCGTCCTGAAGGCAAACACCGCCTAGGAAACTGAGGCCAGAGAAGCATCTGTCCTGATTGATATTAGCTTACGAACTGGAGCCCTCCCCTCCCCTCCCCTTCTTGGGGAGGGGAGGGCTGTGCGGACTAGTGGCGCTGCAGTAGTGTCTCACGCTTGCTTGGTTGCTTGTTTTCTTGGGATTGTAGGGAGTTCTACCTCTCTGTTGGTAGTTTTTTACCATTGGGGTTTGTTTTGTTATGCCTGCCTTTCTGGGTGCCTAACCCTGGTCGATGGCAGATAAGGAAAAAACCCAACCACAAGGGGGGTTTTCCAGGACCATTGCTCCCTGAAACCTCTCTGAAGGGGCCAGGTTCTGGCTCCTGGTCCCTGGTAGGTCTGAACTCCTTAGCTAATGTCTCGGTCTAATATAACATACATTAGCCCGATAAGCTCCAGGGAGCTGTAGGGGCACCCCACAGAAAATTCACATTTCTCTTCCAGAATTGTTCCAGTGATGCTATACAGGAAACTTGTCAACAATTTCCACTATAAATCACTCAATCAAGCTCAAGACACCATAACAATTATGTGACAGTGATAGAGAAATACTGCAGTAAAAATACATGACATATAATTTTTAGATTTCCTCTCTGTTCTACTTATTGAAATAAAATCACACACACAAAAGGTTTAAATTTACTCCAGTCTACATATTCACTCAAATAAATTAGATCATATTTTTTAATGTTTCTCAAAGCATAGATTAAATTTATTTGTGATGCCAACAAATATTTACAACTAAAGTTTTAAAAGTGCATGTATTATGATACAAAATATCTAACTGAGGCCATATTCCAAACTCACCCAGTTTCTGGGCAGCATATCTTTGAGTAATGTCCAGCAATGCTTGACCATATTTGTCGAAATTGGCTTTCGTTACGTGGGGAATCTTGAGCATTTCGTCTTCACTCTCGGGCAATGACCGAGACATTAATCTGATCACATTTAATAAAAGACTTTAATCAGATTTGTTATTTGTATAAATATATATGGATAAAATTACTATTTGTGAATACATCTGTGTTACCACAGACACACATACAAGCATTAATCATTCATAATCTGAATTTAAGTATTTATATAATATATATATTATAGCATTTCACAAAATATTTCCTAAATTCTATTCAATTATCTTTTGCATCAGTAACATACCTTTAGGAATCCTCCAGTTGTACAACTACCCTTCCTAAGTTGCACACATCACACATTTTCCAATTGCTCAATTTCCTGCCAGACAAACATACCTTCACATACCTTTGCTAGTTATCACACTATTAAGCACATTAAATGAACAAATCCACAAGGGCCGTGATGAGGGTTCTTTTGACCATGCCGTGGCTCCGTCGACCAAGGTGCATCTGGGATCATCCCGGCCGTAGGTTCGAACCCTCATCACGGCCCTTGTGGATTTGTTCATTTGATGTACAGAGCACCACTTGGTTTCCGAACTTTAGTTATCCGAAACTTCCAGTTTCCCCGATTGGGGTTGGGGAGTCATGCTACACGAACAAAGTTCAGTTAGGAAGCGGTCCGCCAAGCGCCGCGCCGGCCCGTGGTGATGGGTGGGAAATGGTCCAGTTTGCCGCCTTCTACCCTGTGATTTCACAGATTCACGGCCTATTATTCCTATTATTTTGATTTGTCACAAGACTGGAGAGTTCATTCTGTAATTTTGTTTTACATATCTGCACAATCAAGAAACATCTGTGCACCATATCGGCTCCAAATGTACGCATTGCGTCAGTGTTGGCTGACTGGTGGGTGGATGGGGGAGCCTAGATGGAAGGCAGTATGAGAGAGAGGGGGAGAATTAGAGAGAGAGGGAGAATTAGTGAGAAAGGGAGGGGGAGGTAGGCAGGAAGGAAGTAGTGAGGGGGGGATGGGAGAATTAGGGAGGGAGGGAAAGGCAGGCAAGCAGGCTGGGTGCCTGACTGCCTTTCCCTCCCTCCCTAATTCTCCCATTCTCCCTCCTAGCATCTCTCCCTACCTTCCCCTCCCTCCCTTTCTCACTAGTTCTCCCCCTCTCCCACTATTTCTCCTCTCTCACTAATTCTCCCCCTCTCCGTTGGTGGAGTGGTGAGGGAGGCAGTAAGGAAGGATTTGCTGACCAGGCGATGGTTGCCAAACTTATCGCCCATATTGTATTACAAAGTTTAATCTTAGTTGTAAAATATTTATGCCAAAATATGTTAATTTTCATATATTAATATACATTATTAATCATTAACATATTATATGATTTCCTATTTATTAATTAAACAAATATAGTTTTATTTATGAATTCTGCACAGTTGGCATCTGTGAGCAGGCGCTGACAGACATGTCCCCCTCTATACAGCCTCCACCCTGTTAGTAGTTCCAGACCCTATTAGTAGCTCCCCCTCCTCCATAGCCTGCTGTTCTCATGTTATGAGGAAGGCAGTGAGGGAGGGATGTCAGGCAATGAGGGGGAGAGGCACTGAGGGGGAGAGGCAGTGAGGCATTGAGGGGGAGAGGCAGTGAGGCATTGAGGGGGAGAGGCAGTGAGGGGGGGAAAGGCAGTGAGGGAAAGAGGCAATGAGGGGGAGAGGCAGTGAAGACGGGGAGAGGCAGTGAAGAGGGGGAGAGGCAGTGAAGAGGGGGAGAGGCAGAGGAGGGGGAGGGGGAGAGGCAGTGATGGGGGGGGGGGGAAGAGGCAGTGAGGGGGAGGGGGAGAGGCAGTGATGGGGGGGGGGAAGAGGCAGTGAGGGGGAGATGCAGTGAGAGAGAAGCAATGAGGGAGGGAAGGGTGGGGGTGAGGGAAGGGTGGGGGTGAGTGAACGCAATTACACAATGAACTTTATTTCATTTGTTGCATTTATGCTAGGAATCTGTCGATTTTTTCCCTATGGAATTTTTTGTTAAATTTAAAAAAAAATTCTCTGTCCATTTTCCTCCATTCTCGTTTACGAACTTACACGATAACTGATGGGTCTCGTCCCCAAGGGTTTCGGAAACCAAGTGGTGCTCCGTATCACGCTGTTGTGATTTCTGTGTGTATTAAGCACATTCTTTACTTATCCAGCTGTTCATCTTACTTTTACTCACCAATAACTTCTATAATTAATATTCATCAAAATATTACTCTCTCTCATTCCTTAACCTTTCACTCAGGCAAAACTAAATTAATTCAATAATAGATTAGGTGCTGTGGCAAGGTGAAGTATACAGATGCACTTGGAAGAGTAATGTCAATATCTGAGAGCAAACAATGCCATTACTGGAATAATTACTCTATTTGTTTTAAAGTCTATCAAGGATCTAATGATTAAACAAAATATTCCTGGTGAGATGACAACATACCTAAGGGCAACCATGTTGATAATGTTTGTATAGTTTACACCTTTCTGTGCTGCCAGGTCTTTAACAGTTTGAAGAAGAGCTGCATAACAATCATTTTGCAACTGTTTCAGTTCATCGTCATCATCTTCAGTTTGAGCGTCAGCATCTGGTTTGCTTTCATTGCTTGCAGAATTCTTCATTTCAAACTCAAACTGTTAATAAAAGTTTGCAAGTTACAAGAACTCAGAATATTTATATAAACACAATATTGGTGTAAACTGGCAGCAGGTTATCATTTATACATGTTTCATTTATTTATTTATTTATTTATTTATATATATACAAGAAGGTACATTGTAATTGTGAGGATACATAGCACAGTAATTACATTCTTGTATAGCCACTAGTATGCGCAGCGTTTTGGCAGTAAATTCACTGAATATGACTGCATATTCTGTATTGATTATTTTCTTGTTTAGGGATTCTATCCCTCTGACTAGTGCTCTTGCATCAGTCCGCAAGGTAACATGTATCTACAAATAGACAGAGTAGCAATGGACTTCCCCTTAGGTGTGTTATTCGCTAATTTTTACATGGGGATCATCGAAGCGAGTCTTCAGTAGTAGGCAAAAACCAATGGTATACTGCCCTTATGTAGATGACATATTCGTCATAGTAAAAGACACACTTGAACTAACCAACCTAAAAAGCACTCTTAGAGATAAAATCAGTACTTTGTTTTATTCATAAAAATAGTGAAAATAACAGTCTGCCATTCCTGAATGTACTAATAACAAAAACAGGGGCCTCTCTAAGCACCAGTTTACTTTCTAAACCCACAAACATAGGATTATGCCTGAACGGTATGAGTGAGTGCTCCCAAAGATACAAAGTCAGTGTTCTCAACACTTATATTCGTTGAGCCCTTACCCACTGCTCTGAATGGAGCAACTTGAGTAGGGATTTGAAAGAATAACTCAGGTGTCGGTGAGCAATGGATATAGCAATACAGAAATAAACACTACTATAAGATGAAACCTGGACCAATGGTACAATCTTGAACCAAGAACAGAAACCAGAATGCCTCCAATAAAATTATATTACAAATCAACCATGAACACTGAAAATAAAGAAGAACAAAAATGAAAGACATAATCCGCAAAGGAGTACAAACTACAATTCCTAACCAAAACATAGACTTAATCATATAATATAAAACAAAGAAAACGACCGACCTCCTTATTAAAAAGAGCCCGAAACCGATGGAGAACATATAGAACCGGAGTGTCTGGGAAGCTCCCGGACATAGGTTCGAATCCTCGTCACGGCCCTTGTGGATATGTTTGACGGAGAACCTTTACAGCAGTCAGACGTGGAATAAATGTACACCTGCCCCCATGAAGGATGTAGCCTTCAATCTAAGCACACAGGTATGATGTCAAGCAAGCTGACGAGGTGTTTGACCTGTCATCTTCAATCAGGTGCCCCAAAAATCACATGAGACAAGCCCATGACATCACCCTAACAAGAGAAATGTTGAATAAAAGCACCTGTACAATAGACAAAACCCAAGATGTACGAAGATCACAATTTTTTTAAGCAATCTACATAAAAATAGAACAACCCAACATAAATACCCAAATTACGGAACTATTCACTCTACCCACCATGAGAGTAAGAACAAGACCGGAACGTGAAAATTTCAACATAGAAGACACTGCTCAACATGCTATGCCCAATACACCTGATTAATCTTTGTATGTGGATCGGACCCCATTTATGACCTTTTTCTTTACAATTTAATGCCTTACTTTTTCCTCCTCTTTATGCCTTATAATGGGAGGGGGGGAAGTAACATCAATACTGAAAGCAAGCTGTAGCGGCTCTGCCAGCGCTGCACGATACATACAAAGGCCCTTTGTATGAGCCACAAACCTGGGTTATGAAAGTAATAACAATAATGAAATATATAACATATATTTCTAACGATAAATAATCTGGTGGATACCTTGGCATTCGGATTACTGAGAAACTGTTCGCTCTTTGATCCAGATCGCAGGTAAGCACAGGTCATTTCATCCCTTATTACTACCATATCTTCTTGCAGGTAGCCTTCTAGAACCAAACGCCGGAACAGTCGTTCTGCATCATTCCTTGACCAAGATTTTCCTTTCCCATGTAGTGAATGTCGGTTATGTCCTATTGAATATAAAAATATTTACAAAATGCTCTAGTAAATCCTGTAGAGAAACACCAAGTAAAAGTATTAAGTCATCATCTTTACTAATACATGTGAATATATGTACAGCATTAAAAAAACCAGCGTTGAATGTAATGAAACGCCATTTTCTGGGTGAAACCCGGAGGCTCCCTGGAGCTTTACCAGGCTGATATGCTAATGTCAGACTTTGGCATCAGTTATGTGTATGGAGTTCTAGGGCCTACCGGGGACCACGGCCAGAATCTGGCCCCCTCAGAGAGGCAAGGGGAGCAATGGCCTATAGAAACCCCCGTGTGGTTGGAAGCATTCTATGTCTGCCATCGACCGGGTCAAGAATCCAGAAAAGTAAGCATTCCAAAACAAACCCCTATTCTGGGTAAAATTGCTACCAAAAGCCGAAATAGTTGATAGAACTCCCCAACAGAAAACAAGCAAACTAGTATGATGTCACATGTCACCGCGCCGCTGTCTGCGTAGCTCCCGCCTCCCCAGGAGGGGGGAGGGGGAGCCCCAGACCTCTCACGCTGGCTATCCACCCAAATCTATCAAATGAACAAAACAAATGAACAGATTTGTTCATTTGATGCATCACGTTAGTGTGATCTCTGTGTGCAATGATGTAAAGGGCGAAGAGGGAGAACGGCCTATTGACATAGCTCAGGTGCAGGGGGGAGTTGTGTAAGAGCCTGGTTTGTGCCTCATAGAGGCTACGGGATCCAATAAGTTCAGTAAAACTTCGGTTTCAACTCTTTTAACCCTGTCATAGCTCAGTCGATTAAGGCAGTGTCTGGGATGCTCCCGGACGCAGGTTCGAATCCTCGTCACGGCCCTTGTGGATTTGTTCACTGATGAGGTACTCCTGGCCACCACACAACACAACACACGGCCGTGAACGCCACACAAGGCAAACACCGCCTAGGAAACTGAGGCCAGAGAAGTGTCTATCCCGGTTGACATTAGCCTACGAACTGATGCTAGGCAGCCGGTACGTTAGGTCCGGTGCTTCCACCTCCCCCTCTCGGGGCAGAGAGGGCACGGCAGTATAGTGTGATGTTTGCTTGTTTGCTTGTTTCCTTGGGATTGTAGGGAGTTTCTACCTCTATGTTTGGTTTTTTGTTTTAGTTTTTTACCATGTGGGGTTTGTTTTGTTATGCCTACCTTTCTGGGTGCCTAACCCCGGTCGATGGCAGATAAGGAAAACTCCAACCACAAGGGGGTTTTCCAGGGCCACTGCTCCCTGAAACCTCTCTGAAGGGGCCAGGTTCTGGCGCTGGTCCCTGGTAGGTCTGAACTCCTTAGCTAATGTCCCAGTCTAATATAACATACATTAGCCCGATAAGCTCCTGGGAGCCATAGGGGCTCACCACAGAAAAAGGGGGGATTAAGGGAGAATAGCACCCACCGACAGGACGGAACCAGCCGACTCAAGGGACAAGGAACTGAGACTGAGGAGGGGCCGATGCCCAACAACTCATACGGAGAGGAAGGAGGAAAAAACCCACTCCACGTAACCGCAAGCCCCGTCTAGAGGGTAGAACCCCCCCCCCCCCGCGGGGTCCATCGGGGCCTTAGGGGTCACCCAAATCAGCCCCTCCCCAGCCCCGGGAATCCACTCGGCAGGCCCCAGAGCCAAACTGTCCCCCCACAACCCCAGCCTCACAAGAAAAAAACCGGGGCAGCCGTGAAAATTCTAAGGAAGGGAGCCCACTGGCAGACTTATACAACACGGCTGGAGGAACCGGCTCGAATGTCTCCCGTTGCTACCCCGGAAAGGGAATACCCCGAGATTGCCAGAGTCTCAAAACCAACGAAGCCCCGCCCCGACCCTGAACCCACAGACAATAAGGATCTGGATACAGGTAGGAAGGGGTGGACCAGACTAGACCACACCAGGGGAAAGACAAGGAGGCATGGAAGGAACCGAAAAAACCAACACACTCAAGACCCAACACTAACCAAAATGGGGCAGCCTCGGGGCTCCCGGGGAGCAAACAACCAAGAGCGTCGCCACCATTGAAGCTCAACATGCAACGCCCGTGCTGCCTGCACCCACATAGTCAGCATAAGACTGGGTAACCGAGTCACAAATAAGCAACAAAACTCACAGGACTCCAGGCCGAAGGTGTCACCGACCCCACAGGCAGCAGACAGAGGCAAAGACAGAGAGTCACCCGGAGACAATGAGACAGAGCAACCTTCAAACTCAATAGAAGCGAGGGAGACTCCAGGGTCACATCCATCTGAACCCAAGCGCCCCCAGGGGTTTCCCAGGGTCCTGAGCATTTACTATAATAGGACTTGCGCTCAGGTAATCCTGGGCAGGATACTGCTAACCGGCGCCCAAGTCTACCAAACAACCTTCTAAGAACTGAACCCCTGGGACATGTACACTCACGGGGACCTAGCAGGGGGAACCACCGGAAGAAGGAAGAATACTCAGTACACAAGGGACACTGGGGGCAAGAACGAAGGCAGACCCCCACCAGGCAAACAAACAAAAAGAAAAAGAAAACCCCGCATGAGGACAGCGTACCCAGGCTGAACAGAGCCGGCCGCCATGATTGGTGAAAACAAGCCGCGCAGTACCTTGCACCTCACCAGTGCAAACTGCCCCTTACCCTAAGGCAAACAAGGGAGACAGAACACCCAAGCACACAAAGGGCGGCCAAAAACCAAGCAGTAAATGGCCTAGCAGGGCCAGAACCCAAGGAACTTGGGTTTTGGTAGCCCCAAGCCCTAAGGGCTTGGGGCTACCTAGGGAAGGAAACCCTAGGTACATTCAGCTCGAATACTGGAGAATCACTCCCGGCTCACGCACCACCTAGAAGACAGTCACCACACTCTAGGTACAGTGCTGAAACAACCACCGAAGCCGGAGCACACGACCTCAGCCTCTAGCATCAATCAAAGAACTAGGGTATGGATAGCTAGCGTGGAGGGGGGGGGTCTGAGGCTCTCCGTTCCCCCTCCCGGAGAGGGGGAAGCTGCGCAGACAGCTTCACAGACACACACACAATCATTAAAGGAAAGGGGTGTAAAGAAGAAATGGAAGGGGAACATATTCCTGAATATAGAATATACAAATATAGATGGAGTGAGATCGAAAATATTGGAGTTGAAAGATATAATCAAGCTCAAAGTCCCAGATATTGTCGCATTAACAGAGACTAAACTTGAAGAAAATATTTTAAAGAGGTCGTGTTCCAAAGGGGCTACTCAGTTTGGAGACGTGACAGGAAAACTAAGAAGGGGAAAGGAGTGGCTGTGCTGGTGAAAGAATACCTGAAGTTAAGAGAATTAATGTTTGAAAACCCTAGAGATATTGACATAATGGCATTGCAGCTCTGTAATCAAGATAATAAGCTGATAATTTTAAATGCCTACAGCCCACCAGCAAGCAACACATGGACAAAGGAAGAACTGGATGACAAGCGAGAAGGCCTCATAATGGTCATGAGAGATATTATGGTAAGAGCTGACAAAGATAAATCCCGATTGTTGGTACTGGGGGACTTTAACTTTAAGGCAATAGACTGGGAGGCCTATGCAGCAAGAACAGAGGACATTAGGACAGGCAGGTTTGTAAACCTCAACTTGGAGACATTCATGTATCAACACCTCAAGCAGGCCACAAGAATGAGGGAAGGGGATGTTCCATCAGTACTGGATCTAGTATTCACTGGGAAAGAATAGGAGGTATTTGACATCCAGTACCTTCCTCCCTTGGGAAAGAGTGATCACGTCCTCTTGGACATTAAATACGCTATGCGATATAATCTAGTAGAGAATGGGGACAGTGAAACAGTTGTTAAACTCGATTTCAAGAGAGGACGCTATGGGGAACTTAGAAATTTTTTTCTTGGGTATAATTGGACAGACTTGTTGCTAGGCAAGGAAGTAAATGAGATGTATGCCAAATTTTGCACAATATATGATGAAGGCACACAAACATTCATACCAAAACAGACATGCAGACCTGGGAAACAGGGTTGGTTCAACAGAAATTGCGAGAGGGCCAGAGATCAAAAGACAAAAGCATGGAATCATTATAGAAAGAGGCCAAACCCCCAAACATACCAGCGATACAAAGATGCAAGAAACAACTACACGTCAGTAAGGAGAGAGGCAGAGAGGGACTTTGAGAACGGTATAGCAGACAAATGTAAATCAGATCCAGGCCTTTTCTATAAATTCATTAAAAGTAAGCTGCAGGTAAAGGATAATATTCAGAGGTTAAAAATGGGGGACAGATACACGGAAAATGAAAAGGAAATGTGTGAAACATTAAACGAAAAGTTCCAAAGTGTGTTTGTACAAAATGAGATCTTCAGAGAACCAGACACAATAAGAATTCCACAGAACAATACAGAGCGTATAGAGGTGTCTAGAGATGAAGTGGAAAATATGCTAAAGGAGCTCAGTAAGAATAAAGCAGTTGGCCCTGATGGAGTTTCACCATGGGTTCTGAGAGAATATGCATCTGAGCTCAGCATTCCACTTCACCTGATCGTTCAGGCATCCCTGTGTACAGGAGTCGTAGCAGAAGTGTGGAAACAGGCTAACATAGTTTCAATCTACAAAAGTGGAAGCAGGGAAGACCCCCCTCAATTATAGACCTGTTTAATTGACTAGTGAAATAGAGAAAGTATTGGAAAACGAATCAAAACTAAATGGGTAGAACACCTGGAGAGAAATTATATTATATCAGACAGACAGTATGGTTTTCGATCTGGAAGATTCTGTGTATCGAATTTACTCAGTTTCTATTATCGAGCAACAGAGATTTTACAGGAAAGAGATGTTTGGGTTGACTGCATTTATCTGGACCTAAAAAAGGCTTTCGACAGAGTTCCACATAAGAGGTTGTTCTGGAAACTGGAAAATATTGGAGGGGTGACAGGTAAGCTTCTAACATGGATGAAAAATTTCCTGACTGATAGAAAAATGAGGGCAGTAATCAGAGGCAATGTATCGGACTGGAGAAATGTCACAAGTGGAGTACCACAGGGTTCAGTTCTTGCACCAGTGATGTTTATTGTCTACATAAATGATCTACCAGTTGGTATACAAAATTATATGAACATGTTTGCTGATGATGCTAAGATAATAGGAAGGATAAGAAACTTAGATGATTGTCATGCCCTTCAAGATGACCTGGACAAAATAAGTATATGGAGCACCACTTGGCAAATGGAATTTAATGTTAATAAATGCCATGTTATGGAATGTGGAATAGGAGACCATAGACCCCACGCAACCTATATATTATGTGAGAAATCTTTAAAGAATTCTGATAAAGAAAGAGATCTAGGGGTGGTTCTAGATAGAAAACTATCACCTGAGGACCACATAAAGAACGTTGTGCGAGGAGCCTATGCCACGCTTTCTAACTTCAGAATTGCTTTTAAATACATGGATGGCGATATACTAAAGAAATTGTTCACGACTTTTGTTAGGCCAAAGCTAGAATATGCAGCGGTTGTGTGGTGCCCATATCTTAAGAAGCACATCAACAAACTGGAAAAGGTGCAAAGACATGCTACTAAGTGGCTCCCAGAACTGAAGGGCAAGAGCTACGAGGAGAGGTTAGAGGCATTAAATATGCCAAAACTAGAAGACAGAAGAAAAAGAGGTGATATGATCACTACGTACAAAATAGTAACAGGAATTGATAAAATCGATAGGGAAGATTTCCTGAGACCTGGAACTTCAAGAACAAGAGGTCATAGATTTAAACTAGCTAAACACAGATGCTGAAGAAATATAAGAAAATTCACTTTCGCAAACAGAGTGGTAGACGGTTGGAACAAGTTAGGTGAGAAGGTGGTGGAGGCCAAGACCGTCAGTAGTTTCAAAGCATTATATGACAAAGAGTGCTGGGAAGACGGGACACCACGAGCGTAGCTCTCATCCTGTAACTACACTTAGGTAATTACACGAGCTCAACCCCCGCAAGCACATCTAGGTGAGTGTACACAACCACACAGAGGGTGATCCTATGGGGTGTCTGGGCCCATACGACATATGTATGTACACTATAATTTTTGAGTGCTCCAAAAATTCGAGTATCATCATATTAGAGGTTTCCTGTCCTCTATATTGTCTATGTTGGGGCCTATGATAGTGGTTTCATAGAATTCTTTATGAATATAAAATCCCAGGAATCTGGGGATTTGCATAGAATCAAAACCCATGCAAGAGTACTGAAGAATTTAAATTTAACAGAACTAGATGGAAATAACTCATGCATGGTACACAACTGCCCCAGCCCTAGCATTAAGAACCTAGGAACCGCATGTGGAGAAAGGAAACTTATGACGAGAACCCACCGCTGAAAAGTTTGAACCTACCAAGCACATAAAATATTGCTCCGGTCACCAATTAATAAATATGCAGACATACAATCAGCTCAACACACCTACAAGAAAAGTTCACCAACGCAGGAAAAGCCTATTACAAAGAAAGACCAATGTTCCTAAAGCTAACACAAGCCACTTAAAGGAAGTGTTGGTCTATGACTTGCTCTTGAAAGTGAGGAAGTCAGATGGGAGGAAAATGTTGTGGTGCAACACCGCTATTTAATGGCACTCTCTAAAGTAGTAATCTGGTAGTAGTTAGATAATTTGCCAGGTTACAGCTTGGCAAAGATGCTGTACAAGTTGTGCCAAGGGTTGTGTTTTGGACTTATGGAAACGATAAACTAACATTTAAACAACAAGTCAATTCTTCCAACATACCGCTGTCCATAACTTTCTTAGCTTCCGAGCCCTTGAAGATGTCAACAAAGTGGTTGATGGTGAAGTTGCTTGACCATCCTCCTCCAGTGCACAGTTGCTTTACAGCCTGAAGGATTGCTCGAGTTTCAGTTGAAACGTCTATTTGTTTGTAGGACTCCTAAAAATAAAATACAAAATTTGATTATTTTGGCTAGATAATTTTAATGACTTGCATTCCACATATCACTATGGTATTTTCATTCCTAATTCTCTAAATTCTTCATATACAAAAAATGTTTATCAGATTGTTCATTTTCACAGCTCCAACTTATTTTCCTTAACCACTGGGCTGAGCCGGCTGACAATACTTATGGCAGCAAAGTGTAGGCTGAGAAAACAGGATTTTAAGATTTCAAAACATTCAAAATGCTTGCACGATAGGTTAGGTACAAAATGAACTCCTGGGACCTCCAGTGAGAGGCAGCCACCTTGAAAAAACCAGCGTTGAGACGCCATTTTCTGGGCGAGTCCCGGAAACTCCCCGGAGCTTATCCAGGCTAATATGCTAATGTCAGACTTTGGCATCAGTCATGTGTATGGAGTTCTTTGGGCCTACCGGGGACCACGAGCCAGAACCTGACCCCCTCAATAGCATGGGAAGCAATGGCCTATAGACACCCCCATGTGTTGGAAGCATTCTATGTCTGCCATCGACTGGGACAGGCACCCAGAAAGGTAAGCATCCCAAAAACAAACCCCTATTCTGGTGAAAATTGCTACCAAAAGCCAAACAATTGCATAGAACACCCCAAAAAGAAACAAGCAAACAAGCATGATGTCAATTGTCGCCAAACCGCTCCCCCCTCCCCAGGAGGGGAAGGTGGAGCCCCAGACCCTAGCGCCGGCTATCCACCCTTCAGTTCTGAAGCTGGATGTCAAAAAACCAACGTTGAATGTAATGAAACGCCATTTTCTGGGTGAGCCCCGGAGGCTTCCTGGAGTTTTTCGGGCTAATGTATGTTATATTAGACCGGGACATTAGCAATGGAGTTCAGACCTACCAGGGACCAGCGCCAGAACCTGGCCCCTTCAGAGAGGTTTCAGGGAGCAATGGCCCTGGAAAACCCCATATGGTTGGGGATTTTCCTTATCTGCCATCGACTGGAGTCAGGCACCAAGAAAGGTAGGCATAACAAACAAACCCCACATGGTAAAAACTACAACAAAAACCGAACAGAGGTAGAAAGTCCCTACAATCCCAAAGAAACAATCAAACAATCAGTTTACTGCCGCGCCGGTCATCCGCGCAACCCTTCCCCCCTCAGGAGGGGGATGGGGGGCCCCAGACCTCACTGCACCAGCTGCATTCAGTTTGGAAACTAGGCTTCAACCAATGCAAAAAACCGCGCCGACCGGATGGGAGGGAGGGTAGCCAGGGAGCCTCCGAGGCTCACCCAGAAAATGGCGTTTCATTACATTCAACGCTGGTTTTCTGTGGGGAGCCCCTACGGCTCCCTGGAGCTACATACCCAAAGAGAAGGAATTAGGGACTTACCCGGAAGGCGGCGGCCACAAACTCCTCAACGTGAAGTCAAGAACTATGGCTGCAACCTGCGACCCAAAGCAACACAAGAACGCAGAGGAGCAGGGACATTTACCAAATAACGGGCGGCCAGGACCCTGTTCGACTTCCAAAATCCACGCGCCTGAATATGAGCCCAAGACATGTTACCAAACACGGCAGCCAAAGCTGCAAACTTCAGAACGTCATGGGCGCAAGGATAGACCGCAGGCTGGCTAGACTTAATAACCCTGCGGATAACCTGGGAGACCCGAGCCCTGGAACAGGGAACGAGAGAAATCGGATCAACCCAAAGCGCATCCCCAGCCACCCCAGCTGAAGCGCGCAGGTAATTACCTAAGTGTATTTACCTACGTGTAGTTACAGGATGAGAGCTACACTCGTGGTGTCCCGTCTTCTCAGCACTCTTTGTCATATAACGCTTTGAAACTACTGACGGTCTTGGCCTCCACCACCTTCTCACCTAACTTGTTCCAACCGTCTACCACTCTGTTTGCGAAAGTAAATTTTCTCTTGCTGGGAATTTTCTCATATTTCTTCGGCATCTGTGTTTAGCTAGTTTCAATCTATGACCTCTTGTTCTTAAAGTTCCAGGTATCAGGAAATCTTCCCTATCGATTTTATCAATTCCTGTTACTATTTTGCATGTAGTGATCATATCACCTCTTTTTCTTCTGTCTTCTAGTTTTTGGCATATTTAATGCCTCTAACCTCTCCTCGCAGCTCTTGCCCTTCAGTTCTGGGAGCCACTTAGTAGCACGTCTTTGCACCTTTTCCAGTTTGTTGATGTGCTTCTTAAGATATGGGCACCACACAACCGCTGCATATTCTAGCTTTGGCCTAACAAAAGTCATGAACAATTTCTTTAGTATATCATCATCCATGTATTTAAAAGCAATTCTGAAGTTATAAAGCGTGGGAATGTGTGTGTGTGTGTGTACCCCCCCCCCCCCCCACACACACACACACAATCTATCCCAAGAGGCAGATAAGAGGAGCTCCAGCATATTTCAATAATCCTAAGTATTGTAGTACAGGATGATGATAGTGAGTGGTGTCCCAGAGAACATAAAGGTATAGTGCTTTTGAAAAATAGGTGAGATAACAGGAATGTGCCAAGGGAAGTGAAATAGTGGATGAGAAAAAGTTACCTCTAGTGTTTCCAGTGCAGAGAACAACATTCAAGATGGCCGCCTGCAAGAGGAAATACAAAACAGAGCTTGATTTTGCTGGATTCAGTGAAGAAAGCATTGAGATAACCAGTCTATACAACAAGGTGGTAAAATTAGATACTATTGTGACCTCTCATGTAGAAATAATTAGTAAATTCAAAGAAAGTAATGACCATTTAAATAGCAAAGTTGTATGTCTTGAGGGTAATTACCTAAGTGTAGTTACAGGATGAGAGCTACGCTCGTGGTGTCCCGTCTTCCCAGCACTCTTTGTCATATAACGCTTTGAAACTACTGACGGTCTTGGCCTCCACCACCTTCTCCCCTAACTTGTTCCAACCGTCTACCACTCTGTTTGCGAAAGTGAATTTTCTTATATTTCTTCGGCATCTGTGTTTAGCTAGTTTATATCTATGACCTCTTGTTCTTAACGTTCCAGGTCTCAGGAAATCTTCCCTATCGATCTTATCAATTCCTGTTACTATTTTGTATGTAGTGATCATATCACCTCTTTTTCTTCTGTCTTCTAGTTTTGGCATATTTAATGCCTCTAACCTCTCCTCGTAGCTCTTGCCCTTCAGTTCTGGGAGCCACTTAGTAGCATGTCTTTGCACCTTTTCCAGTTTGTTGATGTGCTTCTTAAGATATGGGCACCACACAACTGCTGCATATTCTAGCTTTGGCCTAACAAAAGTCGTGAACAATTTCTTTAGTATATCGCCATCCATGTATTTAAAAGGAATTCTGAAGTTAGAAAGCTTGGCATAGGCTCCTCGCACAATATTCTTTATGTGGTCCTCAGGTGATAGTTTTCTTTCTAGAACCACCCCTAGATCTCTTTCTTTATCAGAATTCTTTAAAGATTTCTCACATAATATATAGGTTGTGTGGGGTCTATGTTCTCCTATTCCACATTCCATAACATGGCATTTATTAACATTAAATTCCATTTGCCAAGTGGCGCTCCATGTACTTATTTTGTCCAGGTCTTCTTGAAGGGCATGACAATCATCTAAGTTTCTTATCCTTCCTATTATCTTAGCATCATCAGCAAACATGTTCATATAATTCTGAATACCAACTGGTAGATCATTTATGTAGACAATAAACATCACTGGTGCACGAACTGAACCCTGTGGTACTCCACTTATGACATTTCTCCAGTTTGATACATTGCCTCTGATCACAGCCCTCATTTTTCTATCAGTCAGAAAATTTTTCATCCATGTTAGAAGTGCACCTGTCACTCCTCCAATATTTTCCAGTTTCCAGAACAACCTCTTATGTGGAACTCTGTCGAAAGCCTTTTTTAGGTCCAGATAGATGCAGTCAACCCAACCATTTCTTTCCTGTAAAATCTCTGTTGCTCGGTCATAGAAACTGAGTAAATTCGATACACAGGATCTTCCAGAGCCCACCGAGCCCCAACAGGGTTTTCCAGGGCCCATAGGCTGACTGCTACGGGAAGCTAGGCCAGGTGTTGCTAACCGGTTAACACCCAAAAATAACAACAGGGTAGAGGACAACACTGAAAACCCCTGCGACGTGTACAATCACGGGGGCCTAGCAAAGGGCCGCCAAACACTACCAGTGGAACTATAGCCACACTAGGCAGACCCCCACCAGGCAAATGAAAATAAAAACTAAAGTAAAACCCCGCAAAAGTACACCGTCCCCAGAGGCAACAGGAACCGGTCGCCGCTTAGGTGGCAAGTCGCACAACACCTTGATGCTCTAACCAGCACAATACCAGGCCCTACCCAGGGCCAAACACGGGCCCCAAGCCCCAGCTGGCCCCAAGGGCAAAGCAAATGCCAAGCACCAAGAACCTCTACGGGAATGGTTCCCGAACGCCCCAGGATAGATAACCCTGTCACGCAGGGGCAGTACTCACAGGGCGCAGGGCAGGGCATGCAGCTTCGGTACTGATGAGGAATACTTGGCCACTGCACAACACAACACACGGCAGTGAACGCCACGAAAGGCAAACACCGCCTAGGAAACTGAGGCCAGAGAAGTGTCTGTCCCGGTTGACATTAGTTTACGAACTGATGCTAGGCAGCCAGCGCGGTAGGTCCAGGGCTCCCCCCTCCCCCTCTCGAGGCGAGGAGGGCTGCGTGGACGATCGGCACGGCAGTAAAGTGTGATGTTTGCTTGTTTGCTTGTTTCTTTGGGATTGTAGGGAGTTTCTACCGCTCTTCGTTTTTTTGTTTTAGTTTCTTACCATGTGGAGTTTGTTTTGTTTTGCCTACCTTTCTGGGTGCCTAACCCCAGTCGATGGTAGATAAGGAAACCCCCAACCACAAGGGGGTTTTCCAGGGCCATTGCTCCCTGAAACCTCTGTGAAGGGGCCAGGTTCTGGTGCTGGTCCCTGGTAGGTCTGAACTCCTTAGCTAATGTCCCGGTCTAATATAACATACATTAGCCTAACAAGCTCGAGGAAGCCGTAGGGGCTCCCCACTGAAAAAAAGGTTTGCAGAGAATTCAAAGTAATGTACCAGGGATCACAATAAAAATATAGATCATCAGTAACTTAATTCTTACCCACTGTGTGACTTACATGGCATTTGCAATTATCGCAGGCAGTAGCAGGACTACCCTTGCAGTTTTCACGACTGAAGATTTCACCAAAATAATTTAAAAGCTGTGTACGCCGACAGTCCATCTTATTCTCGCAATATGCAACCATCCGCCATAAGTTATCATAATGAGTTTTTCTGGCTTGCCAGTTGTCTTTATCCACTAAAAAATAAAAATTATTCATTACAATCCACATAAAATTTAAAAAAAAAATTGCTAATGGGTAATAATCAACTGCTTATGTTCAACATCTGACAATAAAACCAGCGTTGAATGTAATGAAACGCCATTTTGTGGGTGAGTCCCGGAGGCTCCCCAGACCTATCCAGGCTGATGAGGATATCCCTAACTTTTGGCATCAGTGGATGTGGGTGGAGTTCTAGGCCTACCGGGGAACCACGAGCCAGAACCTGGCCCCCTCAGAGAAGCACGAGGAGCAATGGCCTATAGAAAGCACATGTGATTTTGGAGCATTCTATATCTGCCATCGACCGGGACAGGCACCCAGAAAGGTAAGTGCCCCAAAACAAACGCCTATTCTGGTTAAAAACGACGAAAATAGACAAACGACTGGACAGAACTCCCAATTGAAAACGAGCAAACAAGCATGATGTCACAAGACCTGCGCCGCATGTCTGCGCAGCTCCCCCCACCCCGGGAGAGGGAAGGGGGAGTCCCAGACCCCCGCAACAGCGATCCACACTGCAGAACTCCATGTCGAGATTTCTGTTCACTCGTTTGTCTATTTTCGTTGTTTTTAACCAGAATAGGGGTTTGTTTTTGGACACTTGCCTTTCTGGGTGCCTGTCCCGGTCGATGGCAGACATAGAATGCTCCAAAATCACATGTGCATTTCTATAGGCCATTGTTCCTTGTGCTTCTCTGAGAGGGCCAGCTTCTGTCTCATGGTCCCAGGTGGGCCTAGAACTCCATCCACAATGACTGATGCCAAAAGTCAGGGTATCCATATCAGCCTGGAAAGCTCGGGGAAGCCGTAGGGGCTCTCTCCAGAAAGTTTGAACAAAATTCAACATGTATACATCATTACAATATATAAAGCTTCGTATTCAACATCAGGATGAGGCCAAAATGGCATACAATACACCCATTATTGCAGCACATTTTCCCTAGATCCTCCATTCAGAAACATATCTCTAAGATGTACTGGATTTTGACATTTATAATCTTCCATATAATTTTGAAAATATTTTCTTTACTTTCAATGCTTTCATATACGTGCAGCACATCAATGATTTACAATTTCTCTTGTAAACTCCATTTACCTCAGATTTTCTGGAAAGGACCCCTTGGCATTTTCCTACACTACAGTGGCATACCTATCAAACCTTCAGTGCCACACCAGGCTCTATTGATTTACATATACCTACAGAAGCCCAGTAATAGAATTTTGTTCACTTAACAGAAGAAAAGTGGAATTTGGGAACCCAGGATCACCCCGGTACCCAAGAGAAAAGATCATCAGAAAGGAAGAGCACACCAGAACAGAAACTGCATGGATCACATTTACGATGCTGATCCTATGTAAAAATCATTACCTGGGCGGGAGCAGTGGTTCGCAGCAATGAACAATCTCTGAACACAATGGAAAAGGGGCCAGGGGGGGGGGGAACTGAAGGACCCACCAAGAAACCAGTGTTGAATGTAATGAAATGCCATTTTCTGGGTGAGACCCGGAGGCTCCTGTTATCCAGGCTAATATGCATTAATTAGACTTTGGCATCAGTCAGTGTGAATGGAGTTCTTAGTCCTACTGGGGACCATGAGCCAGAACCTGCCCCCTCAGAGAGGCATGAGGAGCAATGGCCAATAGAATTGCCCATCTGATTTGAGCATTCACATGTGCCCCCACCGCATCCTGCAGGATCAAAGCAAACAACTTCAACAGGGCGGCTAATGCACATGCCACCGAGACAAAGGCACCAGACCCAGGAACGGCCCCAAGTGTTTCCACATCCTCCTCAAGGCAATCCGAAGATAGCTCAAGGAGGGAAAAGAACCACAAGAACGAAGCCAGCAGGCCACTAGTGTGCAAGTCCTCAGACTGGACCTGGACCACCATCAGCACCTTACGCCACTTCAAAGTGTGGGTATTACAGAAAATACTCCAAGCATCCAAAGACAACACAGGGCAGTCTGCTAGCCAGGACGACTCCGGAACCTCGTAAAGAACCTAGTAGGGAGACGAAGACCCAAACGTGAATGAAGATGCGTAATCCGGTTCGCGCAGGAGGTAAGCCGCAATGGCCACCCGCACCTCATGAGGCGGGAAGCCGAAAACCACCGGACAGACGGAACCGAACCCGGAAAGGGGCCGACACCAAATCCAACTCATACGCAGAGGGGGGAAAATAAAACCCCACTCCTTGCATTAAGCCCCGCTCGGATGGTAGAAAAACCCAGGAGGGTTCTAATAGGGCCCAAAGCGCAAAGAACACCAGGAACGGAGGCCGTCGTGTCCTCCAAAGCTCTGGCCTCACAGGAAAAAAACGGGGCAGCTGGAAAGACAGGAAGGAAGGGAGTCCACTGGTCAGACCCCAATGCCACAGCTGAAGGAACCAAGTCAAATGCCTCCGTCACCACTCCGGAAGGGGCAACCCCCGAAATTGCCCAAGTCTCAGAACCTTCTAAACCCTGCCCCAACCCTGAAACTTTCAGATGGTTCGAAGCAGGAAGCAGGGGTGGGGGGATGGGGAAGGACCAGAATGAACCACAGCAGGGGAAGAACAAGGGGGTGCAGAATGAACCAAGGTCAAAGCGACCAACACCCCAAGTCCAGGTTCCGATAAGCAAAATGGGGAAGCCTCAGGGAATCCAGAATAGCAATCAACCTAGCACGTTGCAGCAATCTATATCGAGCATGCAATGCCTAAGCTGCTTGCACCCGGAGAGAGTCATCAGTGGACTGGGTGAACTGAGGGCACAAACGAGCAGCAAAACTTGCAGGACGCTGGATCAAAGGTGTCATCGACCCAACAGGCATCATGACGGAGGCAAAAAACAGCAAGAATCACCCCTGAGACAAGGGCACAGAGCAGCCCTCAAACTCGCACAAAGCGAGATGGGACCCAGGGGTTGCATCCATTGGACACCTTACGCCCCAGCGGGGTTCCCCGGGCCCTTAGACTGGTGTCACTAAGGGAAGCCCAGGCAGGGTACTGCGAACCGGCACCCAAGTCTACCAATCAAACCTCTAAAATCTGAACCCCGGGACTTTCAGATTTTCCTGATTCCCTGCTAGACGTGTCCAGACACGGAGGTCTAGCAAGGAACACCACCTAGAATACAGATATGAAGATAATCCCAAGTATAGATAGGGGGAACCAAAGGCACCCCTTTCCATCCCCCCCACCAGGCAGGAAAACAATAAAAAAAAAAGAGGACAATGTACCCAGGTGGAACAGAGCCGGCCACTGCAATAGGTGAAAACTAGCTGTGCAATACCCCGTGCCCCCCTACCGGTGCAAACTACCCCTTACCCTAAGGTAAACAAGAGAGGAAGAAAATCCCTAGCACACTCAGGGTGGTCAATTACAAAGCAGCAAAAGACCAACACAGGTAGATCTCAAGGTGATTTGTGGAAGTTGGCCCCAAGGGTGGTACTTACAGGACCCTTACAGGGAACTTACAGGGCAACTTTAAGCGCATGCAGCCTGAGCACCTGTGAAATTACTCCCATCTCATGCACCACCCTGCAGACAGCACTAGACACATGGAACAGCACTGAAAACACAAGAATCAGGAGCTGGAGTCACACGACCAAACCTCAAACACATCAGCCGAGAACTTAAGGTGTGGATAGCTGGTGTGAGGGATCTGAGGCTTCCCCTTCCCCCTCCCTGGGAGGGGGAAGCTGCGAAGATGGTGGCACGGCACGTGGTGACGTCATGCTCGTTTGCTTGTTTTTCTTTGGAGAGTTCTGTCCACTCTTTGACTTTCTGTAGTAGTTTCAACCAGAATAGGGGGTTTGTTTTGGGATGCTTACCTTTCTGGGTGCCTGAGCTAATCGATGGCAGACATAGAATGCCGAAAATCACATGTGCAATTCTATACGCCATTGCTCCTTGTGCCTCTCTGATGGGGTCAGGTTCTGGCTTGTGGTCCTCAGTAGGCCTAAGAACTCCATTTACATTGACTGATGCCAAAGTCTAACATATCCATATCAGCCTGGTTAGCTCCAGGGAGCCGAAGGGGCTCCCCCCCAGAAAAGAGCGTTTTATTATATTATATTATAGTATTCTGGGAGGGCCACTTCAGAAACTCTAAACAGATAGAAACAGATTGACTGACAAGGAGGGGAAGATGTGCACACTTCACAGCAGCAACCAACCTAACGCAACACAAGTGCAATGCCGTCCTGGAACAACGACAAAAGACCAGGCAACCTTACCTGGTTGATACCTGGTTGATGGGGTTCTGGGAGTTCTTCTACTCCCCAAGCTCGGCCCGAGGCCAGGCTCGACTTGTGAGAGTTTGGTCCACCAGGCTGTTGCTTGGAGCGGCCCGCAGGCCCACATACCCACCACAGCCCGGTTGGTCCGGCACTCCTTGGAGGAATAAATCTAGTTTCCTCTTGAAAATGTCCACGGTTGTTCCTTAAAAGTGTCACAACCACAAAGTCGACCACATTCAAGGACGAAGCCAAAAAGGCAAAGTCACAAATCAGTGGACAACATAAGCCCAAGGGTATACATCTAGTTAGCACACTGAGTGAATGAATATCCAGACACCAAACTACAGAGGGCCAAAGGGCAACCATGGACCCATTCTCAGGCAACTACAATTCCCCTGGACCATCAATCCATAGATCAATCAGGCCCCAGGACAAAACCAACATTTCTTTTTGAAAGATGAGATCACTAGGCCAAAAACAATGTCAATAAGGAAAATCTGAGAAAAAAGGGACATTGAATCCCCCAAAGAAACAAGAGAAATGAGGAGGGAAGAGGACACACCACCCGTGAAAATCCAAGGGGAGGGAAACCCCCCAAAAGATATCCCCAACAGCCCCCAGTCCATTCTGCACAAATGCAAAATGATCAACTAATCACAGTGGTTATCAAGAGGAGTAAAGTGCTTAGAGAAACAGCACAGAATCCAAAATCAATCCTGCCAGATTATAGGTCATGTCTAATTTAACATGTGAAGCAGGGAATTAGAGTTTCAGTTCCATAAACAATTTTGATGTGTTACTAGTATGAAATGGTTACCTTTAACACTATCGCGCGCCGTTCATGCGCGCCGCAGAAATGAAGGCATAGTGTTCATGTGCAAACTAATGTGTATACTCGTTCAGTTTGAAAGCATAAATTTTAATGTTACGTGTTTCATTTTGGTATCAAATAGTTCGCAAAATAAAGGCGCATATTGTAAAACTAGTCCCATAATAATAGAACAATAAATGGAATTTTAACAAATATTTTAACTTTTGAATGCTCATCACCACAAAATTATTTATATATTTCCAGCGTTCTGACACAAATTTTTGTGTTACATCTTTCATTTTGATATCAAATTGTTCGCAATATAAAGGTGCGTATTTTAAAACTAGTCCCATAGTAACAGAACAATAAATAGAATTTTAGCAAATATTTTAAAATTTTGGACCACAAAAGTATTTATTATCTCTCCGACATCAATTTTTGCGTCACGTCCTTCATTTTGCTATCAAATTATTCGTAATATTAAGGCACGTACAGTATTTTAAAACTAGTCCCATAATAATAGAGCAATAAATGGAATTTTAACAAATATTTTAACTTTAGGACACTTTTTGAAGCTCGTCACCACAAAATTATTTATATCTTTCAAGTGTTCTGACATCAATTTTTGAGTTATGTCTTTCATTGTGATATCAAATTGTGCGCAATCTAAAGGCGCTCATTTTGAAACCACCCCCAGATTGATCGGATAAAATTTGAATTTTTTACAAATATTTTAATACATGACACGAGCGATAGTCAACCGCTAAGAATCAAGAGAAAAATGAGTGACGACGGACATCGGCAACGGAGTGCGATAGTGTTAATGGGGATGGTAGATTTATTTCTGAGGGAGAAGGGATCACTAATATAACCATGTGTGTAAATTAAAGTAGCTAGTTTTTTACTCTTAATCCTATATATATGATTTGAAAAAATATAATTACTCTACAAAGTGCAATATACAAAGCTACACATAGTATCTGCTGAGCAGACAATACTCAAATCATATAATGTTTCCCTAAACTTAACACTAGAATATGTGACAAGCTTCACTGCATGGCTACCAAACATCACTGCCATGATCAAGGAATTTTCCAGGAGCTTAATGGGATGCTTAGGAATTAATTTGCATGCATAACATTATAGTCTGCTGTGTTGGAAATAATCACACACACATGCTCGATCTTGCGACAAGCACTTGTGAACCTTTACTCAAATAGGTCGTACCAACTTCAGCCAAGAGTCCCTCCAGTCTCTATACTCAGATCCTTAGCACTACCCATTTCAGAGATAGGCATACTTGATCTAAACTGGGCTACCTTAGGGTGCCATGAATGTGAGACAATTGTGTTAAATTTCTTGTAAATACATACTTGCATAGAAATCGTCATATACCCTACACTCCCTTCATTCACTGTAACTATAAGGGCTTGAATACAACGATTATTTGTCTCCATTGCCACGGCTCGATACACCGCAGGAATCCACTAATGGAAGAGCCTATGCTGAATACAGTGTATTTCTTGAGAAATATTATATATTACTATAGCTTATATAGCTATACTATGGGAGCCGAGTGGACAGCACGCTGGACTTGTGATCCTGTGGTCCCGGGTTCGATCCCGGGCGCCGGCGAGAAACAATGAGCAGAGTTTCTTTCACCCTATGCCCTTATTACCTAGCAGTAAAATAGGTACCTGGGTGTTAGTCAGCTGTCACGGGCTGCTTCCTGGGGGTGGAGGCCTGGTCGAGGACCGGGCCGCGGGGACACTAAAGCCCCGAAATCATCAAGATAACCTCAAGATAGCTTCCCCTCCTAAGACGCCACATGGTGTGAAAAGATGAGCTCACACCTCGCTAGTTCGTTTCAAAGAGCCTCTATACAGATACACCAATCAAAAATGAAGCATCTTCCTTAGCTCATCGTCTGATTGGTCTGACCATAGGATCACGTGATGTCGTCGGGAGTATGGAGACAGCAGCTTTCCCAGCCTGACCTAGTGAGGTCATGCTGACCTGACCACAGGTCTGCCTGCTACTGCTGCTCACCACCACCAAACAAGATGGTGGTGAGTCACCTATGTCATACAATGAGATGAATAAGCCTCTATCATCTCGTTGCATAACCAGACATCATACGACTTCCCTCACACTCTTTCAGAATTGCAAATAAGGTTACCCAGCCTTGGATACCTAACACAACGACACTCCACCTAGAGCTAACAATAATCATACTGCATAATGCACAGCAATCTGCAACTATGATTGTGAAAGTTTGACTGAGAAACTACCTTTCTCTCTCACACAGGCCAGTAAAAATTTGACAAAGATAACTAAAATTAAACCCTTAACATTTGCATCATAAAACAGTTGGGAAGTGTTTATTGTGTCACTCAAGAGTAACCAGGGACTGCAAAACCTGGCATCACAAAGCACAATCTAGCAACACAGCTGCAGCCTACTAAGCCACCACATCTGAGAGGACGGCTCAGCCAGCACCAAAGTCCAACACTGCAAAATGGCATGCACCCGAGCGTTAATAAATTCAGAATCGAGCATACAGAATGATGGAGACAGCAGCAATGATCATCAGAATCCAAAAACATTGAATCACACTCAAGAACGGTACTCAAGGCAGTGTCACACTTGGAGGCGGACAAAATGGCCATAACAGTTGGCAGGGAAAGCTTCTTGGCTAATTAAACACGACCCCCCCCCAACGTGACCCACTTGGAGAGAGAAGGCTTGTGCAGCCATGGACAATAACAACCACTTTTACTATCCAAGTGAAGAAAGCCTTAGAAGCTTGACATTTAGGGCAATTGTATTGGTGCCAGTGTAATGTTAGCGAGCTACTGTGGTACCACACAAGCACTTCTGTTTCATTACACATTTTGCATTATTATTATCATGAAACTCACTATCAATCATCTTTCTGATACGATGCATATCTTGGTAACTGTAGAAGAGGATACATTCAGCAATTTCACCATCTCGACCAGCTCTTCCTGACTCTTGGTAGTAACCTTCAATACTTTTAGGTAGCGAGTAGTGAATCACAAAACGTACATCTGGTTTATCAATGCCCATACCAAAGGCTATTGTTGCACACACAACCTAAAAAAAAGAAAAACAAAATAACAAATATCCTATTTCATATCCATTTATTATCTTTCTCTTGTATGTAAGGCACATTCAAACATTTCAAAAGTAGGGGAAGGTAAAATAATCATATACAAATTGTAAATGCATGTTTACTAGTAAGAATTCCCAGTAGGAGTGTCTTACAGATCTCATGTCTGATTGTCTATCTTCCTCAAGACACCAAAGAGTCTGAAGGTGTAAGACAATTGATGTGTCACATCAAAAGTCAAGCATAAGCCTGAGCATTACTTAGTCTCTCAATAACATTGGCAAAAGTGAAAACACGATCCTAAGGAAACATATCACTACAATTACCCCTTCCTTGTCCAAACTGTCATAAAAGACAGCAGGCAGCAGAGAAAATGATGAATAGGTAGGACCCTGAAACAGCATATCAACACTGAACAATGCTTCAGTTGGAATTACCACACAATAATAATGTAGCAGAAAAAAACAAACCCCATCATATATCAATGAAGGAGGGCATTGATAGCCACAGGTAAATAATGGAAAACAATACTAGTAATTGCCTCCCACATGAGACAAAACCACAGCACAATTATGCACAGACAATCACATACTTATCAACACATAAAGCAGGCCACAAGAATGAGGGAAGGAGATGTACCATCAGTACTGGATCTAGTACTTATTCACGATTCTTCGCGGCAGGGGATCGTATTCCAGGGACCTGCCCGAAACGCTACGCGTACTAGTGGCTGTACAAGAATGTAACAACTCTTGTATATATCTCAAAAAAAAAAAAAAAAGTATTCACCAGAAAAAAAACAGCATTGAATGCAATGAAACACCATTTTCTGGGTGAGCCCCGGAGGCTCCCAGGAGCTTATCGGGCTAATGTATGTTATATTAGACCGGGACTCTAGCTAAGGAGTTCAGACCTACCAGGGACCAGCGCCAGAACCTGGCCCCATCAGAGAGGTTTCAGGGAGCAATGGCCCTGGAAAACCCCCTTGTGGTTGGGGTTTTCCTTATCTGCCATCGACCGGGGTTAGGCACCCAGAAAGGTAGGCATAACAAAACAAACCCCACATGGTAAAAAACTAAAACAAAAAAACGAACAGAGGTAGAAACTCCTTACAATCCCAAGGAAACAAGCAAACAAGCAAACATCACACTTTACTAATGCGCCAATCGTCTGCCCATCCCTCCCTGCCCTGAGAGGGGTAGAGGGGAGCCCCCGGACCTACCGCGCCGGCTGCCAAGCATCAGTTCAGAAGCCAAGCTTCAACCAAGGTGAAAAAAACGCCGACCGGGAGGGAGGGAGGTTTGCTTGAGAGCCTCCGGGGCTCACCCAGAAAATGGCGTTACACAGAAAAATGGTTTTCTTTGGGGAGCCCCTACGGCTCCCTGGACTTCAAAACAACTTCAAAAACAGGAAACCACAGGTTCAAGTTAAGGAAACAAAGGTGCTGAAAAAATATTTAGAAAGTTCTCTTTCACAAACATAGAACTACAAACATTCCAATTACACAGCTGGAACAAGTGATGCGCTGTGATGCCAAAACTGTCCTAGTTTCAAAGTGACATATGAAAGCAGTACTATGAAGACAGGACATCATACGTTTAGCTCTCATACTGTTACTACACTTAAAAATCACACAAATTCAACATACCATTCAAACTAATTACGTGCTGCAGTGAACAACTTATCTTTGTGATGCTGCCTGAGGAGCATATTACAGCAAAAGGGCAAAAAGATCTGTTCCACAGATGTAGACTGTCATTCTGTGCAAACTAAACAAAGACCTGTTTTGGGGCTAAGAGATTCTTAGGGAGCAACGAAATGACTTTCTAAGCAATAGCTTTCTTTTACCCTCAGATTGATTTTTCTTGACCCTCTCCTCCTCCAACTCTAAGATTCACAGGATAACACTTCTTTTCCTAAGACTGTCATCACCCATTTGTTCAAAATTACCACAGCTTCTAAGTACACTTTACCCAGTCTCACTATTTAACAACTTCTACACTCCACCCCATTAACTCTTAAATTTTCATGCTCCTTGCACACATATGTTCATATCTGTACATAAAATTTGGCATTGCCACACATTCATGAAGCCCCATATTATTTTTCCTGATCATTGCATTATATTACACCAGTCACACTGCTTCTGTGACTTTCTTAGCTCTCAATTTCTCCAGTACATATACTTCCTTTTGTCAGTTATTAACCTAAATAATTTATAAACTGAATGTTTACTTCAAAGCTTTATCCATTGACCTATATTTCACATAGAAATTCCTTCTCTTGACCACTATTAATTTTGGAGAGGCAAATAATGTCTATAAATTGTACTCACATCACAAATAATGCAGTGAGGACAGAAACCAATATATCAGCCATTAACATGGACTCACCTTGAATTTGTCGTTAATCCAGTCTGTCTGAACAGACACTCTCTTGGTGTCTGTTAATCCAGCATGGTAGCTCACAGCCTATCAAAGAAAACAAATATAGAGCACAATTTATTTAGTGGATCTACACCAACATCAAATATTTCTTCCAAATATATTTCTCATTATGCATATAGTAGAACTATGTTGTTGAACTAAAACTTATCAGATATGCAGAAAGTATAAGTACTCAAGTTATACCTTGATGCCAGCTTTTGCTAGGTCACTAGCTGTTGTATCACACTCATTTCGTGAGAGGCAATACACAATACCTGATTGGTTACGATATTTGGCATTAATGAGAGCAGCTATTTCGTTACATATTTTTTTGCCCTTTTTTGGTAGAACTACATACTTCAGGTTGGCTCGGTTGAAACTGCTAAGGAACCTGTGAATAAAAGATAAATAAATCATTATGCGCATAACTTAGCTTGATATTATATGAGCAACTTACGTCATCAAGGAAGCTAGTCCATTCCCATAAATTTTCTTAATACATACTCTAATATCAAGCCAATATTCATTGATTTTCCATGATATCTTTAAGCATCTTTCAAATTAAGATCCATCACCTATAAACTAGCTACTTAATAATTAAAGTGATACATAACTATCCAGGTTTCAGATAAGTTATAAAAAAATAAAAAGCGTTGAGTGTAATGAAACACCATTTTCTGGGGGAGTCCTGGAGGCTCCCCGAAGCTTACTAGGCTGATATGCTAATGTCAGACTTTGGCATCAGTCATGTGTATGGAGTTCTTATGGGCCTACCGGGGACCACGAGCCAGAACCTGGCCCCCTCTAGAGAGCCAAGGGGGTTGCAATGGCCTATAGTAACCCCCGTGTGGTTGGAAGCATTCTATGTCTGCCATCGACCGGGTTAGGCACCCAGAAAGGTAGGCGTCCCAAAACAAACCCCTATTCTGGTGAAAATTGCAACCAAAAGCCGAACGAGTGGATAGAACTCCCCAAACAAAAACGTGCAAACTAGTATGACGTTACCCGTTGTCGCGCCACTGTCTGCTCAGCTCCCCCGCTCCCCGGGAGGGGGAAGTGGTAGCCCCAGACCCACCGTGCCGGCAATCCACACCCCAGTTCTGAGGCTGGATGTCAAAACCCACTAAAAAACACCGACCGGAGGGAGGGAGGGCTGCCGGGGAGCCTCCAGGACTTACCCAGAAAATGGTGTTTCATTACATTCAACGCTGGTTTTCTGAGGGGAGCCCCTACGGCTCCCCCGGAGCTAACTACCCACAGTTACTACCGGGCTTACCCGGGAGGAGGTTGCTGCTCACTCCTCAACCCGAAAGCAACACAGGCCCGACTGGGCCCAGGAACGTTTACAAGGTACCGAGCAGTCAGGACCCTGTTCGACTGCCAAAATCCCCGCGCCTGAATGTCAGCCCAGGACATATTGCTAAAGACGGCGGCAAGAGCCGCAAACTTGCAGACGTCATGGGCACGGGTCTAGACCGCAGGCTGGCTAGCCTCAACACTATCGCGCCCGGCGAGTGAGCACCGCAGACTTTGACGTTATGGGCCTGGCAGTGCGGGCGAGCGTGGGCAACACCTAAATGTGTATACTCGTTTCCGTTTTCTCACCTTAATTCTCATGCTACGTCGTTCGTTTTGGTATCATTGTGTTCGCAATAGAATTGCCTACAGGTGTATATGCATATAATGTCCAAAAGCCCAGCGTGACTCCCCACAGCAAAGGCTAAAGTCGGCAAAAGTTACCCGCGAGCGCACAAAATCAGTAAAATGTGTATACTCGTTTCAGTTTTCTCACCTTAATTCTCGTGCTAAGTCGTTCGTTTTGGTATCATTGTATTCGCAATTAAATTCCCTGCAGGTGTATATGCATATAATGTCCAAAAGCCTGGCGACACTTCCCGCAGCAAAGCCTAAAGCTACCCGGGAACAAGCACCAATTTGCACACCACAACCTAATGTGTATACTCGTTCAGTTTGATAACATCAATTTTCGTGTTACGTCGCTCGTTTTGGTACCAAATTGTTCGCAATGTAAAGGCACATATTTTAAAATTGTAGGGGCTCCCTACAGAAACCCCCTGCGCCGGAGGAGAGCATGAAGCTCCCTGACCCGAACCCCAGAGGCAAATGCCAACAAGAAAAAGAGTCTTATCAAAAAATTTCCAACCGAAGTGGCCACCACAAACCAAGGAGAAGAGATAGCCCCCGGTCCAACAACTAGGATGGCTCAGGCAGCGCACAAGCAGGCCAGAGGTGAAACAACGCAAGAGACATCTTGCAAAATAGAGCGGAAGTAATATCCACCCCGAATGTAATCAGGAGCCGCTGTGCCATCGCCGCATAATACGAGGCAGCAGTATTCAGCATAAGATGACAGTCCTGAAACAGCCAAAAGAGAAAGGACAAAACACCCCGATTCGAAACTGAAGATAACATATGAAAAACCCAGAAGTGATGAAAGGATCGCCAGGAGACTTCATACTGCCGCCAAGACGAAACATGCAGGTGGGCCATCATCAACGACGCCACCTGATCACCATACAAGTGGTGATAAACCCGTGTCAGAAGGACCAGACGCGAAGATCGTAAGAGGAAAGCGAACCAGCCAGGTACCAGACCGACTGATCTGCTGAAAGAGGCAGAGCCACGGAAAAGTCCCCGGGTTCGGACATTGAGGAAGCAGCACCAAAAACCAAGGCTGGGCCGGCCACCAAGGGGCCAACAGGACAACTCACACCTGGTAAGTCTCCAACCGAGCCAGAACCCGAAGCAACAGCCGAACTGTTGGGAAGTTACAGGTAACCCCACCTCGACCAGTCCTGCCAAAAAGCATCGACCCCGACAGCCTCAATGTTGAGGAAAGGCACCAATATATACCAGGAGACGCCTCAATAACACCGACGTAAAGAGGTCCACTTCCAGTGCCTGTGCATCCGGCAGAGCCAATTGAACGTGTCGGCGTCGACCATCCATTCCGTGGAAAAGGGAATGAACCAAGACCGGCCGTCCGCCAAGACGTTGGAAATTCCCCTGGATGTGAACCACCAGGAGAGCCAAACCCCAAGAACTCGGCAGATGAGTCACCCAAAGCGACCAGCCCAACAGAGCAAAGGACTGCATCAAACCCCCTTGGGTCAGGCAATGAACCACCAGGACGCAGTCCAAATGGAGTCAGAACATTCATTCGCAAGCGATACGAACCCTTCAAAGCGACAGCCAAACCACCACACTGTGCTGTGAGCCCGACGAAAGGACGGACCCCACCGACTCTGGCCGGCCTGGTGAGCACTGGTCACAAAGCCCCAGCCGAAAGATGAGGCATCCATGAACACAATGAGGGCTTGGGTAGGCGCCACAGCACAGAACCCCGAAAAACCCAAAGAGGAAGCCGGCGACGCAGCAACTGAAGCAATGCCCCCGGGGTTCGATCCCAGTGATCGTGAGAGCGGCGGAAGGGATGTACCCGAAGGAACCAGAACAGTTGCCAAGGCCACATCCGACTCATGTGGTAGACCATCATGGCAAAGTTCAGACTCCCACACAGCTGCTCGAACAACCGACGCGTGAGCGGGTGCCCTCCAAAAACAGCCGAAGGTGGGACCGCAGCAATGATGCAGAAGGGAAGTCAAGGAAGCCTAGAGTCCCACATAAGACCAAGCCAAGTCTGAACCTGAGAGGGAACCAAATGGGACTTCCTGCAGTTCACCAGGAACCCAAACCTGGCAAGCTGGGAAAGAACCAAACCCCTGGCGAGCAGACACACGAGCTGGCTGGGAGCCAAGACCAGTCAGTCGTCGAGGTAAGCCAGAACCCAAACCCTTAACAGACGCAAATGGGTCACCACGACCTGGGTATGGCGTGTGAACACGCACGGTGCCAGCTTTAAGCCGAAAGGAAGGCAACGAAAACGGAAAGCTTGTTGCCCCATGACAAAACCCGAGCCAGTCCTTGAACCCTGAATAAATTGGGATGTGCCAATATGTGTCCTGGAGGTCCAGGGACACCATACAAGCGCCCGGCTCCTCAGGTCCTCACAGTCCCGTTTCGGTACTGGAAACAGGCGGGAAACCCACCTGATGGACCCAGTCGTTTAGCCCACGCCTAAGCAAACCCACTCAAGGATAACCCGACAGAGCGCAGGGGAAGAGGCCTGCCCCTCCAGCCCCAAACCCGCTAAAGGAGGGGGAGCCACCCATTGCCACCTTACCTTACCTTGACCAAGGTAAGGTAAGGTGACTTACCTCCAGCCTGCAGTGGCAGGCTGGAGGAAACGACCCAAAACGCCCTCGAATTGTGGGTCCAGTCAGGAGCAAACAACGCGAGCCTACCCCTCCTCGTCAACAAGGCGAACCGCTAAAGGGCCGACGACCCTTATAAGAGCCCGACTGACGCTCAGAGTTATCACTGCGCCGACTAGTTGCCGACGGCTCCGCAGAAGGGCCCTGGATCTGGCACAACTGACTTACAACAACCAAAGGAAACCTGAGCCCTGGAACAACCCTTCCGGGCAGGACCCCCCCTCCCACCCCCGCCAGAAGAACCAACAAGTCCGACATAGGTAGGCAACTAGACGAAGCCGCCTGCAGAAAATGCACCACCGCAAACTCTGCAAACAGCAACGGACATAAAGGGGACGATAATCTAAGAGCCAGGGCTCAAGCTGATTCCAAAGAGTGGAGAGCACCACCTGCCAGCACGTGAGGCGTGAAGCACAGAACAGACACTGCTTCCTTCAGAATCGGCGCACACAATTTCAACAAGGCAGCTGACGCCCGAGCCGCCGAGCCAAGCGCACCGGATGCAGGCTTGGAGCCTAGCTCCTTCACATCCTCCTCGAGCCAGTCCAAAGACAGCTCCAGCCGAGAAACGAAGTGCAAGACTGAAGCCAAATGCCCACAGGCGCACAAATCCTCGCCCACCATGGATGCCGAATGGGAGAAAACCTGCATGTGGAGCTGCATCTGATCGATATCATGAGGAAGCACGGGGGCGAACAAGCATGTACTGAGGTGCTCAAACTCGCCCCCCCCCCCCCCCCGGTAAACCTAAACGACAGTAGTCAACTCCTGCCAATTAAGTGTGTGGGTCCAACAGAATGCATGCCACACCCCCAACGAAAAGAAGTGGCAGTCTGCCAGCCAAGAGGACTCTGGCACCTCGTAACGCAACCAGTGAGGAAAAGTGGAGAAAAACTCAAAAGAAGAAGGATCCATTATCAAGGCGTAATCCGGGTCTTGCAGGAGGTAAGCCACAAGGACCTCCCGCACCTCCCTCGGAAGGATGCGGGAGGTCAAAAACCTCTGGAAGGAGGGAAAGGGAGGAGGGAGGGAACCAAGGAACCCAAGAGAACCCAGAACTGAACTCAGGGAGGAGTCGAATTCATATCAAACTCGCACAAGGGGGACCCCCCCTCCCAGTACCAGTTAATGTAAATCACCACCAAGGCCACCACCAAGAAAATGCTGAGGGAAAACCCCTCTCCCTGTTTCCCCCTGTAACAAGCCCTGCGCCGAGGGTAACAACACCCAAGTAGGGTCAAACGAGGCCCAAGTCCCACAAGTCAACTCCTCCCCAGCCCCGAGATCCTCCACGTCAAGACCTGGGGCTGAGCCATCATCCAAACCCTCCGCCTCTGGAGAAAAGGCAGAGTCCACCAGAAAAGCAAGGATGAAGGGGGGCCCCACTGGCACGACCCAAAAGTCCCAGCAGAAGGAAGAGGCTCAAATGTCTCTGCCGCCGAACCGGAAGGGGCAGTCCCCGAAGCCACTTGACTCTCACCACCAAGAAAGCGCTGCTAGACTCTGAAACCCTCAGCAGGGGAAGGAGGGGGGAGCAGGATGAACTACAGCAACAAAAAGACTAGGGGGTGCAGGCGAAACCAAAATCAAGGTGACTAACACCCCCAAGTCCGGGTCCCTATAACCAAAGTGGGGCAGCCGCGGGGCATTCCGGAAAGGCAACCTACCTAGCTCGTTGCAGCAACCTAAACCGTGCATGCAATGCTGAAGCTGCCTGCACCCAAATATCAACATCAGTGGACTGGGTGAATTAAAGTACAGTGGTGCCTCGGAATGCAAGTGTCCCTGTATGCGAGTTTTTCGGAATACGAGCAGGATTTCCTCGAAAAATATGTCTCGGAACGCGAGGGTTACCTCGGGACGCGAGTTTGTTGATACGCGTACAGGCCGACCTAGCGCGTGGTGGTTCGGCGATCGTCGCCCCTCCGCCCCTCAGTTTACCATTGTCTCGTGCCCAGTGACTACCCCACATCAATTCTTCTCGCGGATTTTCAGTGTTTTGTTGGATTTTTGGTGATTTGACTATACAATTTGTTATTATATATCTCACCATGGGTCCCAAGAAAGCCAGTGGTAAGGATAAAGGCCAGAAAGCCCATGTGAGGATGACAATAGAGGAGAAACAAGAGATCATTCGGAAGCATGAGAACGGTACACGTGTTGTTGAACTTTGTAGGCAGTACAACAAAGCCACATCAACAATATGCACTATACTTAAGAAGAAAAATGAGATTATGAGTGCTAAAGTGGCAAAAGGAGTAAGAACAATAAACGAAACAAAGACCACAAATACTTGAAGAAGTGGAAAAGTTGTTATTAATTTGGATACACGACAAGGAGTTACGAGGTGATAGTGTTTCAGAGGCCATCATTTGTGAGAAAGCCAGGGTATTGCACGAAGACCTTCTTAAGAATACCCCTGGAACGAGTGATGCAGATACGAAAGAGTTTAAGGCAAGCAGGGGCTGGTTTGAAAAATTTAGAAGGAGAAGTGGTATCCATAGTGTTGCGAGGCATGGGGAGGCTACCAGCTCAGACAAACCAGCCGCTGGACGATTTATTGACGAATTTAAAGAGTTTGCAGAGGCTGAGGGATACCTACCGCAACAAATGTTTAATTGTGACGAAACAGGACTGTTTTGGAAAAGAATGCCTAAGAGGACATACATTACCAAGGAGGAAAAATCCTTGCCTGGACACAAGCCTATGAAAGACAGGTTTACGCTTGTGTTGTGTTCAAATGCGAGTGGCGATTTGAAAATTAAACCCTTGCTAGTGTATCATTCTGAAAATCCAAGGGTTTTCAAACAGTATAAAGTGCAGAAAACCCATTAGTGTGTGATGTGGAAGGCTAATAAAACAGCATGGGTGACTAGGCTTATTTTTTTAGAGTGGGTGAATGAAGTACTGTGCCCTGCCATAGAAAAATATCTGCAGGAGAAACATTTGCCACTCAAAGCCGTGCTTCTCCTCAACAATGCTTCTGTTCATCCTCCAGGCTTGGAAGATGATTTGTTGCCCAGATACAATAAATTCCTCACAGTTAAATTCCTTCCTCCTAACACCACTCCTCTAATTCAGCCTATGGACCAGAAAATCATAGAGAATTTTAAGAAACTTTATGAAAGGGCACTTTTCCGGAAATGTTTTGAAGTGACTGAAGCCACAAACCTCACCCTCAAAGAGTTCTGGAAACAGCATTTTAACATTTGTAGTGCTTTAAAACTCGTTGACAAAGCCTGGCAAGAAGTGACTCAAAGAACCCTGATCTCTGGCTGGAGAAAATTGTGGCCTGAATGTGTGAGAGAACTAGACTTTGAGGGGTTTGAGCCTATAAATGATGCGCCTATTGTTGAGGAAATTGTTAGTCTAGGCCAGCAAATGGGCTTGGAATTGGATGGTGATGATGTGGAGGAGTTGGTGGAAGAACACAACGAAGAACTGACCACCGAAGAACTCCAAGCCCTTCAACAGGAACAGCAAGACAACGCAGCGGATGATTCTACAGTGGAGGAGGAGGAGGAGGCAGCAGCAAATGTCCCTTCTGCAGTAATTAAGAAGGTGTGTCAGATGTGGGAAGAGATTCAAACAATTGTTGAAAAGACTCATCCAGAGAAAGCTGTAGTAGGCCGTTGTCTTAATCTTTTCAATGACAATGTGATGCCTTACTACAGAGACAGCTTGCGAAGAAGGGAAAAGCAAGCTTTCATGGACAGATTTGTGGTGAGGAAATCGAGCAGCGAGCCTCAACCAGGACCTAGTGGCACTCAGATAAAACGTCCCAGGGAGAGCACACCAGAAAGGTCCTCACTGCCTGATGTGATAATGGAAGGGGACTCCCCTTCCAAACAGTAACTCCTCTCCTCCTTCCCCCTCCTCACCATCTTCCACATGCCTACAGCATTCAACAGCTAGATAAGTAATAACTTGAACATAGTTTTGTAGGTTTATTTAGATGAATTAGGTATAAAAATTTAGTTTGATGTGGGGTTTTTGGGGTAGTCAGGAATGGATTAATTCATTTCCCTTTATTTCTTATGGGGAAATTAGCTTTGGAATACGAGTTTTCGGAATACGAGGCGTCTCCAGGAACCAATTAAACTCTTAAACTGAGGTATGCCTGTACAAGTAAGGTACAACACTCGCAGGACTCTGGGTCAAAAATGTCATTGACCCAACAGGCAGCATGGCAGAGACAAAGATGGTGAGTGTCATCCTGAAACAAGGATACAGAGCAACCTTCAAACTCGCAAGAAGCAAGGTGGGAGTCAGAGGTCTTCTCCAGCCCCAATCATGTTCCCAGGGCCCTTAGTCTGACATCTAAGGAAAGCCCAAGCAAGGTACTGCTAACCGGTTATCCCAGAGCTACCAAGCAAACAAAAAAGCTGAACCCCTGCGACGTGTGCAATCACGGGGACCTAGTGGAGGGCCACCAAAATCCTACAAGTGGTCCTACAGCCACACCAGGCAGACCCCCACCAGGCAAAACAAAACAAAACAAAAACCTCACAGAAGCACGTCTCCAGGGGAACAGAACCGGTCGCAATGCGTATATCAGACAGCAGCACAGTATCTCGTGCCCCAGCCAGTGATGAGACTACCTCCTATCCAAGGTCAAACAGGAGTAAGAATCACTCCAGCAGAACCCCAAGGGCAGGCAATCACTGAGCAGCAACAGAACCACACGGGGATAGTCTCCCAAACTGCTCATGGAAGTTAACCCTGAACTGCAATGGCAGTACTTACAGGGTACCTAGGGATGGTGAATGCAGCCCCAGTACTCTTATGTTACTCCTGGCTCACACACCACCAACACAGAAGACCAACACCGCACTGCAGCATTGCTCAAAAGGATGAAGCCAGAGTCAATCAATTGCACCAATCACAACAGCCTGTGAACCGAGATTGGGTAGCCGGTGCGTGAGGTCTGGGACCCACCACCCCCTTCCCTTCCCAGAAAAGGTGGAAGTTGCGCAGACAGCAGGGCGATGGTTGTGGTGACATCATGCTTGTTTGCTTACTTTTAATTGTGGAGTTCTGCTGGCTAGTTCAGCTTTTGGTTTGCAATTTTTAACCAGCTGTAGTTTGTTTTGGAATTCCTACCTTTCTGGGTGCATGACCTGGTAGATGGCAGACATAGATTGCTTCCAATTACATTGGGATGTCTATAGGCCATTGCTCCTTGTGCCTCTGTTGAGGGGGCCAGGTTCTGGCGCTGGTCCTCGGTAGGCTTAGAACTCTATCGATTGACTGTTGCCATGGTCTAATATATACACATCAGTCCGGTATAGCTCCGGCGAGCCGAAGGGGCTCTCCACAGAAAACATACTTCAATCTTAAATTAAAAACAAAGAACATATGCAAGATTAAATGCTACTCATGGGGTATAAGATATTTACCACTTTGGGTCAGTGAGCCCAAGCTGGTGAAGAATATCTACTCTGACTCGAGGTGTTGCTGTTGCCGTTAGAGCAATGGTTGGCACTCCAGGGAAACGCTGACGAAGAATATTTAGCTTCTTATAATCAGGCCTGAAAAGTAAAATATCGAAGTTATATTAACTCCAAAAAGATGTTTCCAGAGCTGCTGTCCATCTCTAGCATTTAAAAAGAGGTTATTATTTAACGAGAAATACAATAATTGAAAAGTTATGGATGGAGGGGTACAGTATTTACTGTCTTTCATAATTACAAAAATACAATTAATTTATCGAGATTCAGATTCAAATTATTATTGACTTGTAGGATGCAGTATTGAAAAGTGCTATGTCTAAGGAAAACTTAAGAGGAATTACCGAGCAATTGAAATCTTAACAGAGGAATTATTAAGTAGGGAAAATAATTATCATCATTTGCAATACCATTACTACATAGAATAGGACCCCATTAGGAAAGAATGGAAAAGTATGAAGATGATTTAAGATTTAGAGAATTACACTTGACTGTTCACATTATAAGCAGAAGTTTGATGAAGTCAAGATTTGCAATAAGAATGGTACCAGAAATAAAAGAACTAAGCTACAAAGAAAGAGAGGTTAAAAGAACTCTGTCTAACAACAACATGTGGGGTTTTTGGGGTAGTCAGGAATGGATTAATTCATTTCCCTTTATTTCTTATGGGGAAATTAGCTTTGGAATACGAGTTTTTGGAATACGAGGCGTCTCCAGGAACCAATTAAACAAGTCATCCTACAAGTCTAAGAAAGATTAGAAGAAGATATGATCATCCTGTATGAAATACTGTGGGCACAAGACAAACTGGTTAAGGTTAGAGTTTCCCGATGAGAGTAAACAGATGGCACGCAAGCTGAATGCACTAGGTAATAGAAATAGGCAAGAGCGCTAAGTTTTGTTCACACTTTGTTTTGTTCAATAAAACAAAGAGCGCTTTGTCTTGATCAAGGGTGTGAACCTTTCATTGTTCACTTTCGTATTGTGTTTTATTACTCATTCACCAGATCTACCCACCTACCCATCCTTCCTTCCATTCTCCTGCACTTCAACTCATTTATACACACTTTCTCCATCACTTGTCATTTCTTCAACATGGCTATACTAATGCAGGTTTCTACTTATTCTCACAAAGCCAATAACTACTGTACTGAGAAATTATGCTGAAAAGACTGAGCAGATAACAGTACAAGGATATGAAAATATAGAAGCACTCAACATATGTTTAACACATGTCAACGAGATTTTCTGAATTACCAGTAACTGAATGGTACTAGAAATAGGGAGAACATTCTTGCCTGAAGTCATGTCCCCATTGTGATACACAATGGGCTTCATCAATGACAAAGCGTGCCAACTTCTGACGCTGATACAAACTCTCCAGAATACTAGAAAATTTTTGACTTGCGCTGATCTTCTCGGGTGTAACATACAGCAGCTTAAGACCTGAAATGTTAATAAATTAAAGTAACAAAACTCAGAAATATTTTAACAAGCTAAAAATTTTAATCTCTGGAATTAACCTACAAAATAAATTACAGTACAATTGCAATTCAACGTACCCCGATTCAACTAATCTCCAGCTAGGTCGCACACTTTTCAGGCCGGATTTACTCGCCCTGTTCGATGAACAATGGCCCGCCGAAGCAGAGGAGGTGCAGATTTGCCTATGATGTTGGGACAGAGTTCACAGACTGGTGGAAAACTTTCCCATTCAAACACAGGTTACTATTAATAATTCCCTCATATGAAAAGTTGAATCACACAAGTGGTCCATACAACAAGTGAAGCATATTAACCAAACACCAGACAGAGTGGTCCACACAATAAGTAACCCATATTAACCAAAACCAGCCAGAGAGGTTCCCTTAATAAGTAAACCATTTTAACCAAACACCAGCCAGAGAGGTCCACACAATAAGTAACCCATATTAACCAAACACCAGCCAGAGAGGTCCCCACAATAAGTAAACCATATTAACCACTTAACTGCGCCAACCGAGTATACTCGGTCGACGGGAAACTGCGCCAACCGAGAAAACTCTTTTTGATTTTTCGGTACCCATTCTAAATGTGTACGAGGTTGGTTGTGTACGAAATGGACTTTTAGGACCTCCAGTGAGAGGCAGCCATCTTGGAAAAATTCCCAGAATGCCCTAGGGCTGCTGGCTGGGTTAGTTTTGAGTGAGCAACCATGGGTGGCACACGCGCCTCTGGCTCCCAAACACCTGTCCAACGTGTTGAAAGATAACGCTCTGTCGGTGAAATTCAAACCTTTTTGTTTGAAGAACATAAGGGTCATAATATTGGTGAAGCTAGGCGCAGTAAGGACCTAACACAAAGGTCGGACGCAAGTGATACAGCACCTATGAGGACGACACAGTGAGCGTCACCCTTGCAATCCTATGCTATCTCCAATTTATTTAGATGATACATAGATGAATTGTTTTCTGCATTTAGTGATGATGCATTTGATACAAGTAGCATAGATGAACAGTGTTAGTGACTTCCATGGTGGCGTTTTCCATAGATATTTTCAAGAATACCTGACTCTCTTTCTGACTGACGGACACTCTTTGAGGCAAGCTGAATCTCTTCCTGTGTGGGACCATACAAAGCGACCTTTTCAAGACTACCTTACAAATTGATCTTTTTCCTATAATCTTTACAATACTACCTTATGCTTTACAAGCTTGGCTACATACAACCTACAAGTACTAAAGCCAAGGGTGTACATGAGTGCGTTATTTGCAAGCACACAGAATGAAGAAACAGGAAGTGAAAATTTATCTGTACCTGGTGCACTGAGAGCGAAGTCGCGCTGTGTACTATGGACTACTTTGTTGATTATTACTCACTTCTGAAGTAGTGAGTGTGTAATACAGTGTGTTACTGTGTAAATAGTGTGTGAAACTATACATATTGTAATTTTTGTGAATTTTTAACACGTAATGTTGCGATAATAAACATTTATTGTGGACACATTACTGATACATGTATCACAGTTTCATGGAACATGAACGTTCTACTGTATACACATTGTAAAAAACACAAATATGCATCATATACGATAAAAAAACAAATAAAATTGCATTGGAAATACATAGAACAAATAATTGAAAATATATTTGTGGCAACACCCGGTGCTTGAATGGCCCGCGCGACCGTGTCTGGGAGACTCATGCACGGGCGACCAGGCACTTATGACATCACAGCGCACCTTGTCCACGTCCCCACAGCCAAAGTAAGTGGAATTTGGTATTTATTTTTACATAGACATGTTCAGGGAAGGGAATTTATCATTTTACGAAGCAAAAACATTTTTTGGGAACACTTTATTTCATGCGCACCGGGGGAATTTCACAATAAACTCAGCGCAGAACGGTGGTTAACCAAACACAAGCCAGAGAGGTCCCCACAATAAGTAAACCACATTAAACAAACACCAGCCAGAGTGGTCCACACAAGTGAACGACAGTTTTTATGATTTCGGCTCACTGATTTGTGGCACATGTAACTTTGTAAATTAATTTAAAGGCTAAAGCATGAATGGCTACCTACATGTGTTGAAATTTTCTTGAATACATTTTCTGTGATGAAACAAGATGAGTGAGGGTGGACAGATAAGGGAATGCTGCACTGTAAACCTTACCTGGTTTTCCTTCGTCTGTGTCGTCATAGCTCAGTAAACCATGATTTTGAAAGTTTCAGATTACTAAATAATTTCTAAAACTGGTGTTTTAATAGCTCTTTATTATCCTAATTAAAGAAAACTAAATAAAACCAAAAAATAAAAAAAATAACTGTAAGATGATAGACATCTGCTATTTGAGAAATTATTTATGTTATTGGCACAACAACTCCAGAACGAGTGGATGGGTTTAATCCGTGTACAAACAGCACCATGCGTGCTTCGTTTGATTTTGTTGCCACAGTTCAGTGATCTATGGCCTCAAAATAATAAAATTAATATTTGTAAATCGGTTCTAAAAATAAGTACCCAGCACGATCACAGCTGTACCCAGTACGAGCACAGCCGTACCGCACAAGCACAGCCTTACCCAGCACGAGCACAGCCTTACCCAGCACGAGCACAGCCGTACCCAGCACGAGCACAGCCGTACCCAGCACGAGCACAGCCGTACCCAGCACGAGCACAGCCGTACCCAGCACGAGCACAGCCGTACCCAGCACGAGCACAGCCGTACCCAGCAGGAGCACAGCCGTACCCAGCAGGAGCACAGCCGTACCCAGCAGGAGCACAGCCGTACCCAGCAGGAGCACAGCCGTACCCAGTACGAGCACAGCCTTACCCAGCACAAGCACAGTCGTACCCAGCACGAGCACAGCCGTACCCAGCACGAGCACAGCCGTACCCAGCACGACCACAGCCTTACCCAGCACGACCACAGCCGTACCCAGCACGAGCACAGTCGTACCCAGCACGAGCACAGTCGTACCCAGCACGAGCACAGCCGTACCCAGCACGAGCACAGCCGTACCCAGCACGACCACAGCCTTACCCAGCACGACCACAGCCGTACCCAGCACGAGCACAGTCGTACCCAGCACGAGCACAGTCGTACCCAGCACGAGCACAGCCGTACCCAGCACGAGCACAGCACGAGCACAGCCGTACCCAGCACGAGCACAGCCGTACCCAGCACGAGCACAGCCGTACCCAGCACGACCACAGCCTTACCCAGCACGACCACAGCCGTACCCAGCACGAGCACAGTCGTACCCAGCACGAGCACAGTCGTACCCAGCACGAGCACAGCCGTACCCAGCACGAGCACAGCCGTACCAAGCCAGCAAGCACCATATGGACAAAGGAAGAACTGGATGACAAACAAGAGGGCCTCATAATAGTCATGAGAGATTATAGTAAGAGCTGACAAAGATAAATCCTGATTGTTGGTACTGAGGGACTTCAACTTTAAGGCAATAGACTGGGAGGCCTACGAGGCAAGAACAGAGGACATTTGGACAGGCAGATTTGTAAACCTCATCATGGAGACATTCATATCAATACGTCAAGCAGGCCACAAGAATGAGGGAAGGGGATGTTCCATCAATACTGGATTAGTATTCACCAGGAAAGAAGAGATATTTGACATCCAGTACTTTCCTCTCTTGGGAAAGAGTGATCACATCCTCTTGGACATTAAATACGCTATGCAATATAATCTACTAGAGAATGGGGACAGTGAAACAGTTGTTACACTCGATTTCAAAAGAGGACCCGATGGGGAACTTTGAATTTTTTTCATGGGTATAATTAGACAGACTTGTTGCTAAGCAAGGAAGTAAATGAGAAGTATGCCAAATTTTGCACAATATATGATGAAGGCACACAAACATTTATACCAAAACAGACATACATACCTGGGCAACAGGGTTGGTTCAACCCTGTTGTAAGGAGTAAGTCAGTAAGGAGAGAAGCAGAGAGGAACTTTGAGAACGGTATAGAAGACAAATGTAAATCAGATCCAGGCCTTTTCAATAAATTCATTAAAAGCAAGCTGCAGGTAAAGGATAATATTCAGAGGTTGAAAATGGGGGGACAGATACACGGAAAATGAAAAGGAAATGTGTGAAACACTAAACGAAAAGTTCCAAAGTGTGTTTGTACAAAATGATATCTTCAGAGAACCAGACACAATAAGAATTTCAGAGAACAGATAGAGCTCATAGAGGTGTCTAGAGATGAACTGAAACAAATGCTCCTGGAGCTAAGTAAGAACAAAGCAGTTGGCCCAGATGGAGTTTCCCCATGGGTTCTGAGAGAATGTGCACCTGAGCTCAGCATTCCACTTTGACTGATTTTTCAGACATCCCTGTGTATAGGAGTTGTAGCAGATATGTGGAAAAAGGCTAACATAGTTCCAATCTACAAAAGTGGAAGCAGGGAAGACCCCCCTCAATTATAGACCTGTATCATTGACAAGTGTAATACGTAGTCAAAATATTGGAAAAAATAATAAAAACTAAATGGGAAGAACACCTGGAGAGAAATTATATAATATCAGACAAAGTATAGTTTTCGATCTGGAAGATCCTGTTTATTGAATTTACTCAGTTTCTATGATTGATCCACAAAGATTTTACAGGAAAGAGATGGTTGGGTTGACTGTATCTATTTGGACCTAAAAAAGGCTTTCAACAGAGTTCCACATAAGAGGTTGTTCTGGAAACTGGAAAATATTGGTGGGGTGACAGGTAAGCTTCTAATATGGATGAAACATTTTCTGACTGATAGAAAAATGAGGGCAGTAATCAGAGGCAATGTATCGGACTGGAGAAACGTCACAAGTGGAGTACCACGGGGTTCAGTTCTTGCACCGGTGATGTTCATTGTCTACATAAATGATCTACCAGATGGAATACAGAATTATATGAATATGTTTGCTGATGATGGCTCCCAGAACTGAAGGGCAAGAGCT